TTTGTAATGCAAAGATAATTTTAAATTGTGTCCTATGTTGCCGCAAATATATACAAATCATCATCTGTCACATTTACTTTTAAAAAGATGGAACATTTAAATAGGTCCCTGTAGATTTTCTTTTGGTTTAACTGATGAGAAAGCCACACATTAAAACGACTAACATAACCATTCTGATGAAATAATTCTGACTGATTGATTTTGATATTTTGTGTTAGGTTGGCTAACTCCTGCATCATATTATATTGCTTTATAGTAAGGTCTTTATTTGATCACTCAATCAATCTCAAGTTGTCTGTCCGACCGTAAGACACTGTTAAAAAAAAAAAATCTCTGACACAAAACTTTGCAAACCATTTGTGACGCATTTTGTTATTATCTTCTACATAAACTGTATTTTGTTTACCATCTTTTTTTTTTACTTTTGAGTCGCATTTACACTTTCTTGAAGATAAAAAATATCACCTATCAAAAATATTTATTTTATTTCATCTTCAATGTTCGAAACCATAAGTAATAATCTACTAGTTTCGACAATTAAAAAAAGGCGCTAATATGGATGTGCACGGGGGTGGAGGAGCGGCTATTAGTGTGGAAAATAGAAAAATATTGTTAGAGCTCATAGTTTCATGGTCTGATAAGTTATCAAATGTTTGGTATCGCGTTTCATGCAGCAAATGTCCACATTTTGAGCAATTATGGGCTGGATCAAATTTTATATTCTTTAACACCAACGTTTAATTTAAGTAGTAGTTTAGTTTTTTCAATATGAAATTTTTCAATAACATTTTGAACTATTATAAAATATACACTTCCAGAACTTTGTCTTGATTTTCTAAGTAGTCTGTGGTATATTCACCACGCATAACAGAATTAAACTCAGTATTTAGCAAATATCTACAACATTAATTAAGTCATTGCATATATGTTCACTAGTTAAACTAGTATCTTTTGTTAATGATTTCATTCTTTTTCCTTACTTTCCTCTCATTCTTTTTCTCCTTTTTCCAGAATTAGAAAGAAAATACAGATGTTCATCATTTAAATCTGGTATCACTTTTTCAGTGGATCATTTTTCTTAGTGTCACCATATATTTCTTTGACACGAACAATTTTCCAAAATTTTCCAACTTTTTCTATGAAATTAACTGTTTCTGCAGTATCCTCCCCATTTAATAATGGATGTGTTTTAATTGATCACAAAAAAACTTTAAATAATGGGAAAATTTTGTCGCTGTACAGGTTTTAGGTAAACTGCTATATCACTTAGTTTCGACAGCTTAACAAAATGCGTTTTTTTTTCATCCTCAAAAAAACCTTTTACAATTTCCCATTTTGCTGTCATCTTCTTTGCCTTCAGAATAAAACAGTAATTCGGAAATAGGTTCAGTATTCTAATTATTCTAAATATTTTTAAAAAGGTCGACATAATCAAAAAGTAAGTACAAGCCATTTTTAGTTATCCAAGGCTTATTAAAAATAGTGCCATTTAAAAAAAAAAAGAAAGAAAAGAAGATTGATAGGTCACATACTATTGAAATTACTTGACCATTTAATTGTTTGATTTCATCAACAATATATAAAACTTTTTCATAAGAAATAGTTGCCTCTAATTTTGCAACTGGGATAATTTTAAGTAAAAGATTTTGTCCACTATTTAAACATTTTACTATGATGCCCAATACTGTTTTTGCTAATCCTTCAGGATTTTCAGCCAATCCAAATAAATTCTCTCAATGATATTGTACAGCAATTTTGACATACACTTCTATCAACTAAAAGAGTACACTTTTTCTGATTTTAAAATTAAAGTCATTTAATTTTGAGACTTTTCATGTCAAAGCTGAAAAGCTTAAAATCATCCTGAAGTCTGTTATATAATAACCAAGATGTAACAAAATATTCAAATGCCCTGATAAGAATATCAGAATCGTAATGTTTTGTCCCAATCCTTTGTGGTGACATAACATTAATATGTTCTTATAATTTTTTTCTTTTTTTATCAATTTTTAAGTTACGAAGATAACGAATTGCTTCATTGATTCGTGCTGAAACATTGATGTTCGACATTTTGAAAGAGAAAAAATTGTTGTATATATACTAGCATGGTAACATTTGAGTCTCAAGTTTTCAAAAATTTTACTTAAAATATTGGAATACCTCGAGTAAAAAAAAAAAAAATCAACAGATTGGATGAAGAGCTGATTGTTTGATTTATAACGTGTAACTGCTGACACAAAATTCTGTTGATCCTGTCTGATACAAATTTTCAAAAGTGAGGATTTTGTCTTTTTGTAGAAACTGTGCCAACTCATCATTTTGCACATTTCACACAGAAGCAGAAGTTTTATTTGTCGTTCTTGATATTGACAGAGGGCAAAGGAATACACCTGATGGCAAATACTGATGATTGATTTCTGGCTTGTACTTTTCCTCTAATAACCACTGTTTCATAATCAGATGAAAAAGGCTTTTCACAAACAACAGTGTTTGGTTTATCAGGGGTGTTGCCATAACCATCGTTCGTACTCATTCTAATATTAGGGAAGATGAAATACACAAACCTTATTTTCTTCATTATAGTTACCACGACAACCTGTTACACAATACTTTTTGACCATTTTGAGAAAGATTTGGAGTACTGAAATAAAAAAAAATATTTAGTAAACAATTATTTTGAAAAATTACATGGTACTTCTAAAAGGAGCATGAACCTATATCCTAAGGTCTGGGGAATTTGGACTTCGGAATTTAGGATTCAGAATTGAGAATTTAAAGTTTGTATGAATGTGGGAATTTGTCATCTTTTAGAGGCTAACGTCGTTTATGAAATGCCAGGGTGAAGGAATTTAGGATTAGGATATGGCGATCTTAGAATTTGAAAAATGAAATTTGTCATTTCTTGAGGATGGGAAGCAAGTTTCAAAACCCATACACAACATGGCATGTTAATAAAATAGTCAGAAGTCTTTTACGGTATATTTTTATTAGTAGTATCCCAGTCTCAGAAGACCATAATAGATATGTTCCTGAAGTGATATATGGTTGCAGCAGCATCTGCTATGACTGTGCAGGCTGACGTGCAAGTGGCTGTCTCTGTTGCAATTAGTACGGATGAAGAAAGGATGGCCTCACCATACTTTCTCTGATCCCTGGCCTTCGCTGCAAGATAACTTCCCTTTTATCCGCCTCCATAATGTTTCTACGAACAGTAAAGCAGCGGTCAGGGATCAAAGGGTTAAGAATAGTCGTGAATATTAATTAAATTTAATGAACTTAATTTTTGACATTAATTTTATGTCATTAATTCTTTAACAATTCTTTAATTTCATTAATTTTGCAGTAAAAAACGTTACATATTTAATGTCTTCTATTTAGTTACGAAGAACAGAAAAATTCAACTTTAAAAAAATATCTGAACAGAAAAATTCAACTTTAAAAAATATCTGTTCTTTTAAAGAAAAACATAAATTATTAATGAAAAATGAATTTTATATTTAATATGGTCATTGTTGAATAACAATAGCATAGAGAAAAATATTAACTTTAAATTGATTTTATGTGAAAAAATTCTTAATGACACTTGTGAATTTCACACCGAAAAGGTTTGTTTAAAGATAAAATATTACAAATTCAAATAAAAATTATGCTTACTTCGGTATCTTAAATAATAAACTTAAGTTAATCGATTTCTTCTTCTTCTTCTTCTTCTTCAAAAAAAAAATTCTTAATTCAATTCCATCAACGGACATTCATGTGTTAATTGTTCACCGCCATTATGATTGAAGATTCCACGAACGCTTAACAGGCCTGATTAAGAATCGCTTTGGTTTAGATACATTGTATTTAATTTCAATATTTCCAGTTCAATTGTTCACCTGCATTGCATATGATCCATTGTTGTACATAAGTTACAATAAAATTTGTATTTCATATGAATACTGTTGGGGATGTGCAGAGTTTATTAATTATACATGAGAGAATCAGAAGGAATTTGTGTAGGTTGCGTGACTTTCTGCATCCACAAACAAATAAATAAACGAATTTAAAATACGATTAAAAGCAAGACATATTCAATTTAGAAACCAACAAAACATTCATATACAATTCAAAACAACATGCAAGCAGGATATTTGGTATATGTCATTATGGCAAAGTGTGCATGATATTTTATGTTTCAGTATGTCTTTCTTAGTATTCGTTTGTTCATTTACAGTCTTTATAGATTTGTGTTGATATTAAAATTGTCAATATTAAGTGTCTTTTTGGCAGTTGTTCTTACGGAGTGATCTACATTTGACTGTATTATTTTTTAAATCGTTCGCACGTTGATTTTCACTTAATAGGTAGTGAATATAATTCACTTTGGATAAGCAAGGTTTCGTGATTCGATGTCCACAGAGTTGGTTGAGTTTAAATTGCAAATGAGTCAGCGTTGATGTACTTTTGCGCGGTAAAATCTTGATTTCGAGTGACGTGGAGTATGTTGGCAATTTCTCTGTGGGTGTTCGTCTCTGACTGCTTGGGTCAGTCGGCGTTTTCTTTTATAAGTTCTGAATGTCCGAAATTGGCTCACGGAGTTTTGGCGCAATTTCGTTTTTGCACGTGAACTTTCAGATTATTGTGTCATTAACCAATGAGATAGGTTTATTCGCCTAGTACGGTTTTTATTGGTTAAAGTTCTCCGTACGTAGGCGTAAGATATAGACTGTTCTGTTACTAGGGGTGATAGGTAGGAAAAGACGAGTCTACAATACTACCTTATGAAAATTGAGATGTAGTAGTGGGGTGGCGTATCAAAAATTCGGTAGGGTCCCACAAGACTTTTGCACCGGCTTTGAACTGAAGGTAAAAATGCTTTAAAAATAGTTTTTAACAGCTGAGCTGGCACAATCAAAATGTAATAACCATGTAAAATAAACAAGGTGCCGATTTATTTAATGTCACACTTCGAATTAGACAGAAAGAAAAAAAAAACAAAAAGCGAAGGAGCGAGTTCAATGAAACTCATTTTCCGCCATCATATTCTCAGGAAGAGTAAGTCAACGGACTAAAAGCAAATTCGATAATTATAATGGATGCCTATTAAATGTAAAAATATGGAATCTGTGAGAAAGTGAATTCAACGACAGTCATTTTCCCTTCTACTTTTTCCAAGAAAAGTGACCTAACAGCTGACAAGGTTGCCTAGCCTTTATTAAATGTCAAAGATATCGAATTACTCTTGTAATGCAATTGTATATTATTTCTCTTGGGCTTTTATAGTAAATGAAATAATTGTCTTGGGGGATCTATTAAACGTAAAAGCCGTGTAAAAGTAAACAAGGTTTCGATTTACTTAATGTCATATCTCGATACCTGAAAGAACAAAAAGTGAATATTGTTTTTTATGATTTAGTTCCGGACCTGTTATAATCGTTAATAACCATTAAGTCACAGGAGGAGAGAGTTTTTTTTTTTTTATCTAAGAAACAATCACACACACACACACACACACACACACACACACACACACACACACACACACACACACACACATACAGCCTTGGTCAAAATTATGGAGCACCAATGAAAAATCGAAATTATGATTTAAACTTATATATTTAAAGGTTAAGAATAGTGGAGTAAACATTAATAACAACAATCAATATTTGGTATGTCCTCCTTTTGCCTTTAGAACAGCTTTTATTCGTTTTTGCATATTATTGACTAAGTTGTTGCAGGTGGTAGGATCTATTTTCTGCCACTCTTCATGAAGTTTGGCCTCTAATTCTTTTTTTGATGAACATTTGTGCATTCTCACTCTTTTCCCTAAATGGGACCACAAAGTTTCAATGGGATTTAGGTCTGGGGATTGAGGGCGCCACTTCATCACGGTAATCCCTTTTTTCTCAAACCAACCGATTGAAACTTTTGACGTATGGCATGGAGCATTGTCTTGTTGGAAGATTACATCACTTGGAATGTTATTATTAAATATTTTAGTTAAAGAGGTTCGGTAAACCTAGTCCAGCATGTTAGTATAAATTGTGGAGTTCATTCTGCCCTCACATGTGTACAACATTTCAGTGCCTGAAGAAGCCATGCAGCCCCAAACCCTTACGCTTCCTCCTCCAAATTTTACCGTTGGAACCACACAATCAGGATGAAATGCCTCTCCTTCCCTACGGCGAACATAAACCGCTCCAGGGGTGCCAAAAATCTGATGAAAAAAAAAAGAATTTGTTACAATTTTTGAATAAATGTTATGGATGTGTATTCACATAAAAATTTCAATTATTACATCCAAAGTTTAGGAAATAGAAGCTGTTAACTTATCTCAAAGTTACTTTCGTCAGACCAAACAATTTTGCCCCAATCATCAGGTGTCCAATTTTCATGGTTTTTTGCAAATTCCAGTCGTTTTTTCTTGTTGGCCTGAGACAAGTATGGCTTCTTCCTGGCTGTGCATCCTTTTAATCTCACTTCTAATAACCTTCTTCTCACTGTTCGAGCTGATATGTTTTTGTTTGCATCCTCCCTAAGTTCAGCAGCAAGCTCTGAAGAACTTTTCCTCCTATCTGCAAGGGATGCTCTTTTCAAAGATCTGTCTTCCCTGGCGGTTGTAGACTTTTTACGGCCTTGTCCTTTTCCGTTTTTGAAAGACTCTGTTTCCTTGTACCTTTTAATCATTGTTTGAACCCCCTTCCTTGAACATTCCATCTTCCTGGCAATTTCTACCTGAGAATATCCTTCACCAGATAAAGCAACAATTTGTGCCCTTTTAATCTCTGAAAGCTGCTACTTTGGAGGCATTTTCAATTAAATATACACCGGTAGGAATAAAATATTACCCGAAAATTACGAAACAACCTTTAGTATGACAATAAATCATTTTGAATATGATTTTAAGATGATCTTATCAAAGACAATTTGATGTACGTAGGTCCTTATTTTTCGTACAAACAATTTTTTTTTATTTCATTGGTGAATTTCACAATTAATTTCGATTATTTCCAAATTTATTTCCAAGTTATAAAAATTGTTATCGTACAAAAATATGTGTCGTAAAAATTACGTAAAAGATCGCCGAAAACAATCGCAGTAATGAAAACTTTGGAATCCAAAATTTCAGGATTTGGGGTCCGGATCCGAATTCGGCCCAGAATTTATTTAATTTACTCACGGAGTCGGCTTGATTCCAAAATGGTATGATATGTTGGGCTAAGGCTTCTAGGAGTAAAGTTGAAAAAGTGTGACACACTGACATTCACATCTATCTATCTATCTATCTATCTATCTATCTATCTATCTATCTATCGAGAGAGAGAGAGAGACAGACAGACAGACAGACAGACAGACAGACAATGTTAGTTGGTTATATTGTGGTGGTCCCAGACAATAAAATAAAATAAAATATGAAAATAAAATATAAAAACAAAAAAAGCATTAAAATTAAAATACATTTGCTTTCCTTTAAAACCCGTCTTTCTCCCGTTCTTTCTCTCTAGTCTCCTTTCTCTATACTTCTCTCTCAACTAATGAGAAGCCAATCCTCAAATAAGAAGGGGAAGAAGAAAAGACTGAACGTGGCTGTAAAAAGGCGGAAGTTTGCTGGTCCGCGGGTTTAGTTATTGTGACTAGAAATCGACCAAAATAAGAGAATCTCCACGCATAACTTCCGCTATAAAATGAAAAATAAAATGAAGAAAAGAACGCCGGAAAGTAAAAGAATTTTGGCCAATAAAAACAAAAATAAAAAATAAAAAAACAAACAAAATCAAAGAGATTTTTGATGTTAGCCAAAACTAAGCGACGCGCCAACAATCTGCAGCCCTTTCTTAAGCGGTATAAACAAACAGCTGAGAGGCCGAGACACAGAAAGGGCAGCAGAGAAACCAGCCTAGTATGACGCGTGAAAAAAACTAAGAGTCATTTGCTTAAGACATTTTCCGTCCTTTTGATACGCCGTAGATTGACCCCACAGCAAGTTTGAAAAGAAACCATACTCCCGACTGTCACCAAAGTCTGACTTGTAAGCTATCAAATACTTAGCCAAACGAACTTTCGCTACTCCGAATTACAAATGACTCACTCCAATCAAAGTCAAATATATATATAATATTTTTATAATTTGATTCTGTTCGTTTCTTTCGAAGTTTCTGATAAATATTGCTAAGAACGCCTGGTACTATACTACCATAGTGACCTCCCGATGTGAACACACAACTTGTCTCCATCGGAACTTTGGACACACCAAAATTCACAAAAAAAGAAGCTCAAATTTTGTCATAAAAAGCTTCGTCAGATTAAGAAGTCACAACAAATCATCACCAAGATGATCTTATCAAACAAACACCAAGCGGTGAGTCGTTGCATGCTGATATTGCTTTATCCATCTATTTTTCCCAGTCTAACATACATTAAAAAATATGTCACTACCTGTGGGTCTCCGTCTTTTTTATCCAAATCAAAAGCCGAAAGTATGTAGAGCACATCTCTACTACACAGAACAGGCCAGAAGATGTGTCGGGTTACCTTCTCCTAATTTTCGAAACTGCTCCTAGGAGACGATCTCAGGACTATAAATAACCTGCGATATTTTTCTTGTTCTTTTTTCACCTTATTCGTTTATTCCTCAACATGTCACCTCTCGCGGAGAACGTGTTCTCTTTGGGAAACGCATGAACAATGCATACACACATACAAAAACGTACGCACATTCACTCACTACACATACATTGGACCAAAAAGGTTTTCCCATTCTTTTGTTACACACATTATTGTCTTCGTCGCTTGAATACCATTTTTGCTACATACTTTCGGCTTTTGATAAATTCTTTTAATGCACAATTTGATTTTCGCGATATGCCCTTCGGTCTAAAGACCGCTGTTGCTACTTTTCAGCGCCTACATGAATGAAATATTTTTAAAAAATAGATTCTGTATTCATTTACAGATGATATTTTACTTTTTAGCAATAATGAACTTCAGCATAAGAAAGACTCGGATACAGTATTTAATATACTACACAAAAATAACCTTAAAATGTCACTGGCCAAATGTGCATTTAACGTATAGGATCTAAACTTTCTGGGATTTAATTTAAGTAAAGAATGTTTATTACCCACTTAATTAAAGAAGATTAAAGAATTAGAGGTTTTCCTAGCTCCTAATGATACAGATCCTGCGCAGATTTGGGACATGACAGGTTTCTATCACATGTTAATCCCTAATTGATGCGTGATTGTGTTACCTCTGAACGCATGGGGTTATATCTCAAATCAACGCTTGAGCTGGCAAAAAGAAACAGAAACCTTTAAAGAAATAATACAACAGTTGGCAAACATTGCGGCAAACTATCAACTAGACACTGACAGCAGTCAATATGCAGTCGGTGCTGCATTGCACCAAGTGATAGATTAAAAATCACTACCCATAGGATTCATTTCGAATAAATTATCTCAAACCAAACAAAATATTCAACACGCGATAGAGAACTCCTAGCGGCTTATTTGTCAGTGATTCACTTTCGCCACCACAAATAAGGTCGCCACGTAGTTTTATTCACTGACCATAAACCATTATGTGGAGCCTGTAGCAGCAGAAATTAGCCTTGTGTTCACGGAGGTAAAATATACTTGACAGGAAATAAAACGTACAGAAATAACAGAAAAAGCATGGCAAATTTGATGTTAATTTCATACAATTTATTTATATTTGTGTGTGTATTTTCTAGGTTACAATTGTTTTATGGTACATGTGATAAAAGGAGGAACTTTTCTCCGTAGCGTTACAATCCATATCACAGAGAGAAGTCGGACACGTGTTGCCCATTCCAAGGTTCGTGGCGAAGAGATTGAAATTAACGTCTTTTGGCAGGATGTCCGTATATCCGGCAGGAAGTTTTTATTGCATGCTGGGAAAGTTTCGTAATTTTTAATTTTATTTAATTTATTTTATACAACGTTTCTATGTTGATTTTTTTTTAATTTATAATTTTCATCATTATTATTATTATTTTATATTTTTATTTATAATAATAATAATAATAATAATAATATTCCTACAAGCCTTCTACAGTCAAACAGCCGCGAAATCGAATCGCCAGCAACGACACCTGTCAGTTCTTATTGTTAACTTGTTGCATATAAAAGGGGAACAAAATATAGTTGCAGACTGCATACCCAGGCCTGCATTAACAGTGCAGATAGATTCATGCGACTTGCCTGAGATAGTGAAAACACAAACAACTGATGACGAAGTAAAATCATATCCGAACTTAAGAAAACACCGAATCAAATGGAGGTGGTTCAGTCCCATGTAACACTTCCGCTATTCACACTAGACCTTTTATCCCTGAGCATCTCTGTAAAACTGTTTTCGTCATCCTGCATTCTTTAGCACATCCAGAAATTGGAGCGTCTGCCAAATTAATAACATCCACGTACAGTTGGCCAAACATGGATAAAACTATTGATTAGTTTTGTGCAGAATGTGTTATTTGTCTAATGTTTCCAAAAACACGAAGTCTGCTAACCAGAATTTTGAATTACCATCATCTCGCTTCCAAATGGTTCACCAAATATTGTTGGCCCATTTTCTATAATCCACATAAATCCAGACACATACCTAATCCTCTATAGGTATCTTCTAAGCTATTTTTAAATTGGCTCACACCATCATAGATTGAACTACGCCACTGTTTCCTTTTGGATCCTGATGATTACCATAGGTTCAGGGGCAACTTGCAAGCATTTAACCTTTCTTTAGGCATCTGTGGTTGACTTTTTCCAGTGTCTTAATGTGTCGTCTGTAGGCGGTCCATGAATCACTGCCATGCAAAAGGAAGGGAAGAACCATTGCACGGTACACGGACACTTTCGTTTCCAGTGTCAGGCCTTTCTCGGACCACACTCGCTTTCCAAAAGCGGCCAAAAGAAGAACTGCCTATTAAATGTAAAAATGTGCAATGTACAAGGGAGTGAATTCGACGACAATTATTTTCCCTTATACACCCAGGAAGAGTAACCTAACAGCTGACAAGGTTGCCTAGCCTTTATTAAATATCGATTTACTCTTGTAAGACATTTGTATGTTATTTCTCTTGGGCTTTTATAGTAAATGAAATAATTGTCTTGGGGGGACTATTAAACGTAAAAGCCGTGTAAAAGTAAACAAGGTTTCGATTTACTTAATGTCATATCTCGATGTTGAGAGAGAGAGAGAGAGAGAGAGAGAGAGAGAGAGAGAGACAGACAGACAGACAGACAGACAGACACAGACAGACAGAAAAAAAAAGCGAATATTGTGTTGTTTTTTTTATGGATGAGTCCCGGATCTGTTATAAAAGTTAATGCACATTAAGTCAAAGGCGGAGAAATATTTTTCCTATCTTAGAAACAATAGTTTGTTTGTAGATATCGCATGATATGATTAGGTCATTCACACACACACACACACACACACACACACACACACACACACACACACACACACACACACACACACACACAAAAAAAAAAAAAAAAAACAAAAAAAACACGCGTATATTTGACAAAGTCGGCATTTTTTTTTTCGTTTTTCTTACTTTAGAACTTCGTCGGATTACGTTGCGCATGAAAGAGAGGGGACACGGAATTTTAAATTTAAATTTTCAAATTAGATTTCTTTTTTTGATGTGCGTTTTGGGTAGATAGTCTCTCTAGCCGATTTTATTAACTTGCTTTTTCTTTTTGTTTATACTTTTTTTGTTATTAACTGGTCCACATTGTGATAATAGAAAATCTGTTAAGAAAAATGAAATAAAGGAACCTGGACACAAATACTGTTGATGATTAAATTTAAAAAGCACTTTATATACACTTTCGTCTCAGTAAATTATTGTCTTTTAATTAAATGGTTAAACTCGGCTGAAGTATGGATGACCGAAAATGAAAATCTGATGGCCAAACTTAAAAGACTGACAAAGGATAGGTAAAACTACGGTACAAGGTCAGATGAGATGAGTTTTGCTAAAGATTGTGCTCCGCCAATATATTGCGCATAGGAGAGGAACTGTATATCTGATTTGAAACTCAACATTTGAATTTCTACCATTTATTTCAGTTAAAATGCTGATTTTTGGCTGGAGGAGGACCAAAGATTAAAAACTAAACTTTCTCTCTCTCTGTATCTCCGTCTGTCAGTCTTACTCTCTTTCTATCTCTCTTAGTGTTAGTCTTAGTTTCTCTCTCTCTCTCTCCCTCTCTCTCTCTCTCTCTCTCTCTCTCTATTTCTCTCTCCTTATCTATTGACTTAAATTCATATAGCGTTGAAACATTGGTCCTGTACGATCACCAAAATTAAGCAACGTCGAGCCTGGTCAGTATCTCAATGGATGACCGCTTGGGAATACCAGGTGCTGATGGTGTCATGGATAATGGCTCGGAATTGTTAATCGAAGAGTCGATTTCCAATTCCAATCGGGTTCGTTATATTCACTTACGCGCAAATACTCCTGGGAAACATATGAATGCACCTCTCCTCCTCCAGCTATGGGTTAAATAGTAAGACCTGTATTACTAAATCATTATTATCTCCCAAAAAATTCTTACAATTTAAAAGTATTTTCTGGCTTTAAAGCCAGAAAATACTTTTAAATAACCTGCAAAGGGTTGGTAAGCCTTAAAAAACGAATCAGTCCTCATCTTATATATCTTTCTGTGCGTCGCTGTTTTTCTCTCTTTGTCTGTATGTCTCTCTCTCTCATTCTATGTCTCTGTCTCACCTTTCTTTCTTTCTTTCTTTCTTTCTTTCTTTCTTTCTTTCTTTCTTCTCGGTGTTTTTCGTGTGTCACTGTCTGTCTTTATCTCTCTATCTCTGTGTCTGTGCATGAACCCTCTCTCTATATATATAATTCTATCTGTACGTCTTTATCTGTCTCTTTGTCTTTCTCTCTTTTTTGCTGTCTCCATCTCTCTCTCTCTCACTCTGTATGTCTGTCTCTTTCTATATCTCCATTTCTTTCTATGCCTATGTGTCTCTCTCACTCTTTCTGTGTCATTATCCTTCTCCTTCTCTCTCTCTCTGACACACACACACACACACACACACACACACACACACACACACACACACACACACACACACACACACATCTTCTGTTTGTTTTTCTGTCCTAAGTCCAGAACTTGGAGAAAGGAGTATATTGTGAAGACATAGATTGGAATGGAACATATTGCTCTCTTTTAGGAAGAGTCACTATCCTATGTAATTGTTTCTGGTTCACAGAGGGAGTACATCGAAATAGAAACTAAGTGTTAGGCTAAAAAATTCAAATATTTTTTCGCGATTGAATTGACGACAAATTCAAACATGTCAGTGACACACATAGTCAGGCGTAGCGAGAACAGTTTTCGAAACATCACACCATAACGAGACGCCTGTTCATAAAAGAAAATTATGGTGTAGTAAAAAAAATGCTTTCCACAAATAAAAATTGATAATAAAATGAAGTACATCTACTTTCCACCATATTCTTTGAATAACTCATCGCAAGTATACAGCGATCTTGCAAAGAATAGGCTCAAGTTTATACGCACTATTTAAATTCAAATTGTTGGGTTATCACACACACACACACACACACACACACACACACAGCAGCGTTGGATTTTTAGGTCATGAGACCCCTGAGCTAATAAAATTTGGGGCCCCCTTCATTACGTATGTACCCCGACCATAACTATAAAAATATTTTTAGAATTTTGATGTAAAACCTGAAACATTTCAACTAAAATTTTTAATGATTTTGGTTCTGGAACTCATTCAATTTATTTCATTAGTCACTTCATGATCTTTATCCGAAATTTTACAATAAACACATGTATTTCGAATGAAGGGCCTGCATTACACTGAAATTCTAGTATTCAAATTCACTAGCAAAGGGACCCAAATACTCTAAGTCTAAATTAAATTGTTTCAAATTTAATTAGTTCAAAGGAGCCCCATTATTAAATCTGAAAATAGACAAATATCGCCTGTTCTTAATAGACAGTGTGTTCGTGTGCACTTTAAAAAAATTATAACTTTAAAAAGTGCTCACGAACTTTATGGACACGCTGTATATTTAGTATTAGTTTTATCAGTGGCGCAAGACTAGAGGGCCCTTCGGGAACCCTCTAGCGTTGGGGCTCCTGGGCGACAGATCATAATAGCCGACTAACCCATATGCACCCACTCAGTTTCTCTCCCACACGCAAAATTTTTCGCTGACACATGTTTTTTTATCTCGTACATCCAGTCTCTTTTTTTTTTTCAACCCCATTTTCATTCATCTCATTCCATACACGCGCTTGCGCTCGAGTCTAGTCGCCTAGAGTTATCTGCCCTTGGCTAGTATAAATAAAGACTCGTGCGAAGGCGTCCAAAAGCCACTTGGTTATTTTGTTCGACATTCTTTGTCACGACGGTTGTACGCTTGAGAAAACAAACACAAATAAAGATGTGTCGGAAGGCAACTTGTGGGACTTGTGGAAAGACTACGTGGATGGGTGAGATATTTTATTTATCTTTTTAAATTCTTTATCCGTCAAAGTTGTTTTTTTACTTCTTCATGTGAAAAGAAAATCGGAGATGTTTTTTTAAAAATTACTGTTTTTTTATTTATTTATTATTCTTTTAAGTTTTAATTTCGAAAAAAGCAAAAAACTAAGCCATAAAATCGGGAATAAACTCGCACATTAAAAGGCCGAAAAAAAACTTTATTAACTTTTAGTTTTTAACTCACTTTAAGTTAGAGAATTTTATTAACTTTTTAAACTTAAAATTTAACTTTTTAAAATTAAACTTAAGACAATAAATTTAAATTTTAGTGTAAAAGAAAACAAAAAGGCTGGTCTACTCGTAAAAAGTAGGAAAAGAATTGTGAAATTTTGTAAATTAGCATCTTTTTAATTTTAAAATTCAACGTTTCTGAGGCCGTCACGCATGTCAGAATTGAAATATATTGATTAAAAAAATGGATTTAGAATGGGGTCTTGTTTCTAATATGGATAAATGTCAAATCGATCCTTTTATTATTTTATTTGGGGGACCAGTAAGTAATGCTTTTGTTTGTTTTTTTTTTTTTTATATAACGAAACTCACAAACCAGAAAAATTACTCTCTCCTCTCCATCACACATGATTTTCTTTTCATCACTGTTTGAAGTAGAAGATCCTCACCACAATAATCCAAAGATTTTGACACGCACTGTCCGTATTGGGTTGTGCAGTGAAAAGGGTTTTTTTTCCCCCTAGTTGACTTTTTTTTTTTTAATGTTGTCCCTTGGCATTTAACGATTTTTCCTCCCTGATGTGGGTCAAGGCAAGACTCAAGACGACTATGAAGCCCATTTCTGTAATTTATTTTTTAAATTTTTTTTTTAAAGAAAAAAACAAAAAAAAAACAAACAAAAAACGAAACTACTTTCTCATTAGTTCACGAGTTGGGATCGAACTTCAGATCTTTGTAATGTACAGTCCACTTTACCCTCATTATTTGAACATAAAGCAACCCTTATCAAACACATTTGTAAGTTATTTTTTCGTAACTTTGTTTCTTTTGCTGAATTAGTTATTTTCATTATTAGTAGGTCATAAAAAAAATCATGGAATATTGGTCATCATAATTCTTTTCTTAGTTTTATTGTTTTCACCAGAATATTGTCCTCTTCTTTGTTATCACGTTTCGATCTGGAATTTGTGTATGTTTATACTTGGATAAAGTAAAAAAAAAAAAAAAAAAATTCATTTATTTTAAATAATGTGTTTATAATTTAAGAATTACATTTTTTTACGTCTTTGTTTTTTCTCTCCCTAGTCATGGCGACGCCAGGTGGCAGTATGCTTGACTCTGGCTCACTGTCCCAAGATGTTTACGAATATAGGAGTTGAAAGACCAACTCCTTGAAAAAGCAGGGCATTTATTAATAATTAGTAGATAGAATAATGCTCATGTGAAAAAACAAAACCACACGTGCTTTTCAGCCAAGCTGCTGCCTCAACACTTTGTTATTGCAATGAGTCATTGTGAAAACAAAAATTTAAATAAAAATGAGTGTGGGGAGGGGATATATTGTTCATTAATGAAATTGGTTACAATTTGAATAAAGTGAATCTGTAAATTTTATAGCTATTTAATTTAATTTTATATAGTAAATTATGGGAGCAACATTTGTTAAAGATTACATATTGTTACTTTAAAAAAAAGTCATACCCACAACACAACACTTACCTTATCTCCAAAAAAATGTGATAGGGCCTAGTAAATAAGTGAAAATCTTGAAGATTTTAGTTTTAATTTCAAGCAAATATATTTAATATTTCTAATAAGTAATATATTTTAACTGTATTTCAAACCAAATTTAAATTGATTGGATTTTTTTTTCTTCAGTAATGCCAATGGACACTTAACTAAAAATGATTTGATTAAGACATCGTGAATGCCTTATAGTTCTTCTTTAACTACTCATAAATACTTAAAATTTAGGAAAATATTCAAAGTAATCTAATAGTTTATTGAATTTTTAAGTACTTTGGCTTTTAAATACTTAAAATTTAGGAAAATATTCAAAGTAATCTAATAATTTATTGAATTTTAAGTACTTTAGCTTTAGGTAACTTCACAGAAATGTGATAAACTGAATTTTTAAAAATGAAAAATCTTTTTTTGAAGCTTTTATTTTAATTCTATAATTCCAAGCAGACATTAAATTTAATCTTTCAAAAATAAAATATACTCTTCTGAAACTTAGGAATATTAGCTGACTTGAAGTTTAATTACTCTGATTTGAAACACATAAGTTTAAAAAAAAACGGAAAGGCATTTTTTAACATAGCAGTAGGTGTTGATAGCTTGACTGACAGACAAGTTTCTGTTTATCTAATTTTTTTTTTTCTAAGGTGGACATATCTTTGAAAATTACTTGAGGAATATAACATTTTTTATATAATTTTTAGCTACACTGTAATCTTAAAAAATATTCTCTAATTATTGAGTTTCAAGTACTTTGGCTTTAAATTTACTATAGTTATCACTCTTATTTTTTGATAATGTGTAAATTGGTAAATTTATACACTTGGAAAATCATTCAAAATATTTTGTAAAATATTGGATTGATGAAGTGTATTGCCTTTTATGATTAACAAATATAGTTTTTATTTAAGTAAGAATATCACCTAACTGCTAAAAATTAAACAATTTTAAAAAATTTAATTTCATAAATTATTCTAATTTAAAAAAATGAAAAATAAATCTTGTATAGATTTATTTAAGAAATATTTTTTCTAAAAAGACAATAGTTTTCTATAATAGCTTTTCTAATTCAATGAAGTCTTAGTAGTATTGCATTTTTAATTTTATGATTCATAGCAGATTTTTGGGGATCCTGTTTTACAAAAAAAATAAAATTTAATTCACTAAAGAGTTCTGTTTATAACTATTATAAATATTTAAGTGGTACAAAAATGAATTTTTCAAAATTTCATAAAATTAAATAAGTGTGGAATGTTAAATTCATTTATGAATAAATCCTAGAAGATTCATTAACATCTGATAATTAATTATCTGATTTTTGGAAGAATTTCCAAATCAATGGCTTTTTTCATTGTAAAAAGCCACTGAAATTTCCCATACTAATTTATGGTCACTAGTTGATACAAGAAAAACATTAACAAAAATTTGAAGATTCTAAAAAGATGTTCAAATTTTTAATTCTAATTTACTCATTGATGCAAGATTTTTAATTAAAATTTCAAAGATTTTAAAAAAGGATTACAACAAAAAAAATCACTTAATCAAATAATTCCTTTGGGTCTTTTCTCTGAATAATAACAAAGATTTTGATGATTTAAACTTTGTTTTTAAGTTTGGGAGATTTTTTTTTTTTTTTTTTTCATCATGTATGTTTATTACTTTGTGGAAAACTCCCAAGATGATGGTTCCCTGATCATTACAATCTTGACCTCTTCGAGTCTGAGGGTCAACTACATATTAACATAATCTGCACTTATGTCCTCTTACAATCCATACAATAACCTCACTCGATAGCCTATCTTGAGTGGTTCTTGGGCCTTGTATTAAGTGAATATTTAGCAAAAAACAAAAGAAAGAAATCGGTACTTCAATGATCAAACATCACAATTTGGGTAATTTGGCTCAAGCTGATAAATTTTACACTCCTAGTATAATACAGAAATTTTACACTCCTAGTATAATACAGAAAGATAATCAATTTGAATTAAAATACTTGATCCTTACATATAAAATATAAAAATGCTCCATGGGCTGTTTCAAATTTTTAAAAATTTTCTTTTTCAGAATTAGAGGTACACATATACAGGCATCCCTTATTTAGGCAACTCCTGTTTTCTTATAGCCCTTATTTGTTAGCAGAGCCAGTGCAAGGGCCTTGTGCCCCTACTTCAATCTATGATATGGAGTCCCTCATTTACGCCTCTCAATTTTCTAGAAGGTAGTATTCACATAAGATACAAATTTTATTGTAGCCTAATTATGCACAATAATGGATCAAATGCAATATAGGTGAACAATTCAACTAGAAAAATTGAAAATAAATACAATGTATCTAAATACAAAATAGACATGTCATAATAGATCATTTCATCTTAAATAAATTAATGTTTTGCAACAATTTTAAAATCAACTGATTGTTCTTGTTAAAAAGTTGAATAACACATTCAATATTATGGATAAAAAAAATAATGAATTTTATATATTTTTTTTTTTTAGAATGAGCAAGACAAATTCAGATTTGGACGAAAAAAGACCCCAGAATTTGCCAAAAATTCATCATCGTTTAATAGTTGTGCTTAGTTTAATTTGTAATATATATAAATGTAGGTAGAAAAAAGTAAATGTTGATAAGATAGTGAGGGTAGGGGTCACAAAGCACTGCCGGGGCTCCCCTGCCTCCAGGTGAGGGGGTAGTAAGTGCTGGCTCTGTTTGTCAGTGGTTGATGATTGTGTAAGGCATGTAGCTATAAACTTTTTTTTTATAGGCATTAAAGGAAATAGATTCTCTGAGGCTTTTATATAGAAGTGGAAACTTCCTTTTTCCGAATTATTAGTTTCTAAGTATAAATTTGTTTCCTTTTTTTAAGAGAGATGGAGCAAATGGAAAAGATACAATGGTTGATATTTACAAGCACAGGCTATGGAATTTGTACCATGTAAATAACTTGTTGCCACAAAGATTCTCAAGGAAATAAAGATCTCATTTTCCAAGTGGTCAGCCTGATGCTGCCAAAATTTGTCATGCTCATGACCTTTGTAATTTATTTTGGATTGACTAATTTTCTTGATAGTTTAGTATGGAGACCGTGTTGCACCAAGCTTCTAAACCTGGAGAACTGAACTGTTTTCCAAATCAGTATTTGAAATATGGGCTTCTAACCAAATGCAAGTGACATCTAGAATAGTCATGTTAATGAGAATTTTTATTTATATATAAGCAATATTTAATAAGTGGGCTGGTTTGAATAACTGTTCCTTGGAAGTTTTTTTTTTTTTTTTTTTTTTTTTTTTCCCAATACAAATAAAATATGGAACTAAATAATTGTGGCAAAGAGGAAACTATCTTTGTCACTAAACAGATAAAGATGTTTGAGACAGTGTTGTCGATAAAATATATAGATTGTATGAAACCAGTTTAGTCTTTTCATATTTCATAAATTGTATTTTTTTTTTTTCTTTCAGGTATCTTGTCAGTTGATAAATATTCAGAAATGTTGTATAGAACCTTCTATTTAATCTTGGTGGGTGGCATATTATAGTCAGATCTTTATGCGTCATGACAATGTCTTTTCATCTTGAACAAAACTTTTATTTAAACCATTGGGCTGTATTGTCATTCCTTTTTATCTAAAATTTTTGAAAAACCAATAACATTTTGCTCTTGCATATAAATACTTGTCACAAAATAAAATTTTTACATTTCCCTTGATAGTTCCTCAGAGGATGAAACAGATTGTAGAAGATAAGTTTTCTTTTTGTCTTTATTCATATTGTCCTTTTACAGATCTGAATCTTGACCTCTTCGAGTCTGAGGGTCAACTACATATTAACATAATCTGCACTTATGTCCTCTTACAATCCATACAATAACCTTTCATAAGTTTATAGGCAAGATGCTTTCCATGAGATCTCTATTTTTACTTAATGCTTTCCAAACAATAGTTATGTCATTTATTTTGTTTTGTTTATCTATTGATTTCCTGATATAGTTGTACTCCTGGATCTCTTCCAGATCTTCAACCTCTATTTATTTATTCTAAGATCATTCTCAAAACCTACCTTTATTCCAATTAGTTAGCCTTTGTAATCTGATAGTAAAATGTCATTGACAAATTGTTGATTAGTTCCAATCCTTGAATTCTACACATTGAAGCCAATGGAACCTACAACTTTGTAAAAAGCTAATGACATCAAACTATCTTCATACCCAGAAAATCTCACTTAAACTGTGACCTTAAAGCAATTAAGCCATTCATCCTCCACATTAAAAGATCTCGTAAATAAAACGAACAAGGCACAAAATAACACAAAAACAATATGTATAGTTGATAAATTTGACCCCTTCCAAAATTTTTATTTTTTTATTTTTTTTTTATGGAACTCTGCTACTAGAAGTTAAACATTAGAAATAAAATTCTACAAAATATTGTAGGCATGTAGGCTGCATCTCAAATGACATTGTGTGAGATGAGGAACAGGCCTGTAGGAAGACCTTACCTGTACCTTGGATGAAATCAAGTTGGCTCTGAAAAATCAGCATATAACAGACAAAAAAAAAGTATTAAAAGAATCAAGATATAGATAGAGAATTAGATAAAATTAAAAAAAAAAACCATCTCTAAGAACCCCCGATTTGTTGAAGCAACCCTGTATTTTATTGGCCATAGCTTTAAAAAAAAAAAAAAAAACTGTCTACCACCCTAGCTGTTTATGTAGTCACATGTTGTATTGGACACAATGAGAGAGAGAAAAAACTCCATCAAATTTCAGGATATTTCGTTATCAATTCTCTACAAATATAGATGAATGGAATAAAAGATGGAAATAGAACAGGATGTGCCATGTTCTAAATAACAAAGGGCACTTGAAATGGCTGCCAGATATATTGTTAATCGACAGTGCCAAGATCCTGAGCATGACATTAAAAAATAACACAATAAATCCACACTTAATAGTTTTGAAAACATGAAACTGTTGTTAAACAGGATTGATGCTTGTCATAAAACCTCATTCTGGATATTGAAACATACTGGCATATAGAGCTTAAAAAAAAAAAAAAAATTCATGCTATCAAGAACCAAAATTTCAAACCAATGCTTCACAAATTCATCAACAATAGTAAAAGCAAAAAACTTTACATTATCCAGCCAGCCAACATTAAATGCCATACAAGCTGTAGAAAGATGAGAAGGGAAGAAGTGGTTCTGATTATGACTATAAGTCATACTGACCTTACTCATTCATTGCTTGTCAAAAACAAAATTCAATTGCAATCTAAATTTTACGCATCACCCTCCCCTTTTCAAAAAATGTTTGCAATCTTACATGACACCTGAAGGTTAATATTCTACTAAAGAATCAATAAAAATAACCACAACTAAACACTGAATATGCAAATTAATTATCTCCTTTAAGATATATGTTGAGCATGATATAAGATATGGTGATAGATTACTTTTGTTTTACTGGACACAGGAATTAACCATGCCTCTGTAAGCCCCTGTTCTATGTTTCTCCTCATTTTAGGTGAGAGAAGTTGCTCAGCTCTTTAGATCTGACCCAGTGGCAGCAGTTTCCTCATTGCACTAAAGCAGTTCTGTACTAATGATGCCAGCATGACCATTGTCACAGGAGATTGGAGAGATAAGAAAAACAAAAGCAAAAAAAACTAAGCAATTTTTGTCTTTGTCTATATATATATATATATATATATATATATATATATATATATATATATATATATATATATATATAAAAAAATGTCAGTATCTGGTGTTATGAGAGGCTAATTTCAGGTTGAAGGTGTTTAAAGTGGAGTCATTCTCTCTCACAACAATGCCTTAATAAAACTTGGTATTTATGCTATTTACATCACTTCGGCTGTTGTATGCTCCAGCCATCTTCAGGTGATGTACATTTGAATTGAACCCTTTATTTAGCCCACAGGGATAGATTGTTCTGATCCTTTTATGGATATCTCCGGTTCAGTTAATTCCCTTTAGTAAGTCTACTTTGCATGGTTTTGTTCCTTCTGCTGTGTGACTTGACCCAAAGAGTTATGAGTTCCATACCTGAAAACAAATGAAGGAACCAACATAGTCTAACTACTAAAGGAAATAAACTGAGATATCTAAAAATGGCATGGCATGTGGAATTAGAACAATCTAAAGGTTCAGTTTTAAATTCTAATGTATATCACATGAAGAAGGCCAGGGCATACAATAGCCAAAATGTTGTGAATAGGGCAATAAAGGCAACAGTCTGAATGATTTAAATAGTCACCTCATCTTAGAAATATAGACAGATGCTAAAATCTGGTAAATTAATGTAGTTTGACACTCCAAATCTTTTCTCAGATGCCTGTTTTCTTTTCTTTCTTTTTTTTGTTTTAAATTTTTTATTTATTTATTTAAAGGTTGTGGTAAACATGTGGAAAGTGTCATGAAGGACGTACCCGAAGAAGAAAAGTGTAAATGTGAGAGACACAATCCCAAAATGTGTACGGCCTTGTAGCCATGTTTGGTGACGGCTTTCTCTTCAGCTTGAAAAACAAAACGTTTCTAATATGGACTGAAAATCTTAAAAAGAAATAAAAATGTATTCACTTCTTGTTTTCTTTGTGACTTAACATTGCAAAGTTGCTGTTGTGTTGTTTTTTTTTTTTTTTTTTAATGACATCATGGATAATACCATCATTGCAATATGGTGTCTGAGCCTCCACCCTCTGGGAGGGGTACTTACCATCTAACAATTGTGTTAGATCAATATGAATGGAACAGGATGGTAACCCGATTCAAAAATTTAATGCCTGCTAATAACGAAGCTAGGAATAAATTTACAAAGGTAGTCTGGAAACTTCATAGGTTGACTATGAAGGAGTGATGCTAGAGCTGTGAAACCTTGCATGCATTGATTTCAACTCTTCTTATTAATAGCTACCTTGTTTCTTTCTTGGTTAATTGATTGTTCAAAGAAGACTTCAAATGTAACTAGTAACAACTTCTCTTGAAAAGTTATCAAGTTCTTGCAGAAAAAGGGTTTAGTCCCTGAGGACATTCTTGCTGACAGTGGGAGGAGGGGAATTAAAAAAAAAAATAATGAAATTAGTTCGGAAGATCCAAATAAAACAAGTAGAATTTAAGATTTTCTAAGACTAGGTCTCTGCACTCCCCCCCCCCAACCCTTACCTAATTATCTCAAAAATTCCAGGGAAGGATTCTTGCTAATGTCTATATAAAGTATTAGCACTTCTGTTCAACTGTTTATATAGTGTTAGTAAAATTTAGTCTAGGGGTTTAACCCGTGTTTCAAAGAGGGTCATCTATTACAGGACAAAGAAAGCTCAAGACAATCTTTTTGTAAAACATGAAAAAAAAAATATATGAGGGGTGGGGAGCAGATGAGAAATTGTTATGGCTTTTTTATATATATTTTATCATTTAAAGTAACTTTTTTTTTTTTTTTTTTTTTTTTTTTTTTTTGTGAATAAATATATTTTTCTCCAAAATTGTAAATAAAAGCTACAGAACAATGCCAGGAGAGAAGATAGGTAAAGTTTATTATAAACTGCTACTAACAAACCAACGGACAAGCATAACAGACAATTGAGGTCACTCAAATTATTACAATTTGCTGCTAGAATAATTTTCTTGTCAAAATCATCAAACGGGCTATACAGAAAGATGAATAATTATTTATGCTTTTTAAATTAAACCTATTGTTAGTTAAATAGTTTCTTACTTTGTGTTGTGAAAATGGGTTTTCAGCCTAGAGGTTCTGTGGCTGCACCAGAAATCTCTGCATAATCATGACAACTACTGAGCAAAATCCCTGTAAAACCTGATGTTGACATGCAATGACCATAAAGATAAAATATGACCAAAGAAAAAAGGCTTTTTTTTTTTTTTTTTTTTTTTTTTTAAAGGATTCAAACAGAATACCAGATTGATGAAATGAGAGCTGTGCTGTAAAAATTTATTTTTTTAATTACAAATAATTATTAAAATTATAAGTCCTAGCTGACTTTAGTAAGCTTATTATGAAACTGTTAAGCCTTAATGGTGTTAACATTGAGTTTTAAAAGAGCCTGGAAGAAAATTTTTATATAAATTTGAAGTTTTAGAAGTTAGAATGTATTGGATAAAAAAGTTGAAAAATACAAAAAAAAAAAAAAAAAATGGTTGTTACTTCATTATGTTGGTTCTTTATGTTTCTGGAAAGCCCCTTTACTAAAGGCACTTTTAAATTTGATCACAACAATGATAATAGAGGAAGGAAAATACCTTTGCTCAAGTGTTCATGAGTGAATTTTACTTGTAAAGAATTATGTCCTAGAAATTAGTTTTTTTTTTTTTTTTTTTTTTCAATCACGGTTTCAAAATGGTTAGATAATCATGACCTATTTGGGAAGGATATTAGAATAATCCAGAATGTATGTTGGGAGCAAACCACATGCATACAGATAGAAAATGAATTCAGTAAATTAGCTTAATTAACAAAGACAATTAAATCATGTAAACAAAGCTAGAGGAAAAAAAGATGAAACATCAACTGCACAAAGAATGGTCATCAGCAACAAGAAAAGCTGAAGATTCAATTTATGAATTGGAGATATAAACATCAAACAAGTGCAGAAGTTCAAATATGTGGGAAGCATTTTAATAAAAGATGAAAAATACAACACAAAACAGGCATTAAACTAATGAAAGAAACATTCCAAAAGCTAAGCAAGGTGCTGAGAAATGCAAAAATATTAGAAACAAAGAAAAGAGTGTTGGATTGCTATGTGATATCCCTATAGCAGTGAATACTGGACAATCCCCCAACGGATGAGGAGAAAACTAGAGGCAACAGAAATGGGGTTCTAACAAAAGGATACTGAAAATTCCATAGACAGAGCAAGTAAGCAATGAGGAAGTTCTAAAGAGAATGGCAACAGAAAGAACACAGAATCAAGAAAATATAATTAAATTCATTGGACATATAATGAGAAAGAAGGGCTTAACTCTCACGGGGAATACTGAGAACAAGGTAGGGTTCCCATAGATCTGTGTTGAAAAAAAAAAAGAAAAAATTCCAGGACTGTTAAGTTTCAAAAACACAAACTTAATGATTTATCTTTTAGTTTGACAGATGAGATGTTCAAAGAAAAGTTGGTTCCAATAATTCGTGTCACATGAATCAGTTAAAAGCAGTGAAGAAATCCAAGTGTTAAAAGCTAAAACACAACTGAATGCAGACCAGGTTGTGTTACACATTTTGTGTAGCATTCTACACAGTTTGGAGTTTTACTACACTTGAAAATGTTGAGTTACACACTTCAATTCTTACTGCTACACATTTCAGCTTATCTGAACTCTTCATGGTTTGTAAATGTCACAAAAATTATTGATTGCTGCACATTTCCTGTGAAGGGTAATGGTTTTAATTAGGTACCACCAATAATTCAGTATTCTTAAGATTTAAATGTATTTTCATAAATGAAAATTTTTTCTTGAAGCTTTCATTTTAGCTTTAATTGAAAGCTAAAGGATTAAATTTACTGTTTCCAGTAAGCAAAATACATCTATAATAAGAGTAAACACCTCTTAAAAGTCATTGACATTTATTATTCTAGGGAAACCTTATCCGTTAAAACATAATTTAAGAAAATGATGGGTGAATTCTTTTTTTTTTTTTTAATGTAATTTTTAAGTACTCAGTAATCTTAAAAATATTCTCTGTAATCTAATTTTAGAAATGTTGACTTTAAATTTACTATCATGATTGATCTTATTTTCTGATAATAATGTATGGTCAACCATACTTTCAAAATTGGCACATTTATATACATAAAAAAAATAATTTAAAATTATTTAAAAAATATGGGTGTTATGATTTGTATTAAGCTTTTCAATTTTTGTTTAGTAGTCTTCACTTAATAATCTAACAAGTTCAATGCTTGGAAGAATTAATAAAACATTTTTGAAACTTTATAAATTATTATAATTAAAAATAAAAACAATTCTTGTAAAAATTCATGAAAATTTTTTTCTTCAGACTATAATGTATATACTATTTATAAAAGCAGTCTAATTAAATAATTAGTTTTATTGCAGTTTTTATTTTACAATTCAGAGCAGATTTTAGGGTATTTGGTAATAATTTTAAAAAAAAAAAAAATTGATGATTACATTCTCCAAGGAGTCTTGCGTTTAACTAATAAAACAAATTTGAAAAGCGGAGTTTAATTTGTTAAATTAAGGGAGGGTAACATGTAATATATATATATATATATATATATATATATATATATATCCCAAGAATTTCTAAAATAATAATTTCAAAAATAAATTTATTTGTGAATAAGTCTTGAAGGTTTCATTAAAATCCAAAAATTTTTTCATTTCTGCAAGAATAATGTGCTATTTTACCAGAAAAGAAAATGTGAAAATGTCCATTACTAGCTCTGTTACATTGTTAGTACCCCCCCCCCCAAATAAAATTTCAAATGTGTTAGAAAGGAGTAAAAAAAAAAAAAAAAATATAAAATACTTTGGTCTTTCCTCTTAATAATAACAAACATTTTGATGATAAAATTTTGTTTATATTAATTTTGGGTCCCTTTTTCATCATGCCATGCAGTTTTTTAGCGAAAACTAAATTAAAACTAGCTACCTAGTATTAATGAATAAAACTATAAAAAGACTACAGATTTTAGCTACCTCTACTACTCATGGCTTTTGTTGCACATGGCATGGAACACAATGATGTTAACATTTTCTTCCAGTTCCTCTAATTTAGCTGCGATAAGTGTGAAGTGTTAATCTGCTCAGCTTTCTCCACATAGCTGTCAGTTGACTTGAGCAAATCTTGTGTGCAACTTTCAAGCTTGTGTTTTTTAATCTTCAGTTCTTCAATTTTCATCAGCATGGATTTCCGTTTTTGCTCCACTGCTTGTTCCTGCGTTTTTTTCCCTCTCAGCCTCAAGGTATTGGTTGTATGCTGTTCTGGCATTGAAAGCACTGCAGAGAAAAGACTTAGTCATTGGAACATTCCCAGCACCTCCAACTGTGGCCAAATAGTACTGTGCAACCAAAAGCTGCTGTTTCATATTGTCAGTGGAAATTTCCTTATTAACTGAGAAACCTCTCTCCACAAGAAAGTACTGTAACAGGGTGGAATGTTGAGTTATAATGTGATTACCTCATTATTATATGTATTTGATAGATGAATCCTCCTCTCTTCGTTTTTTTTACTGAAAATGAAATGAATCAAAAGGTAAAACGTTAACAACAATAAGACCTTGAAACACATTTTGAAATTAATGACAAGAATGTGTATTTTTCTTTTCATGAAAAATATTAATTACAATATTGGTATTGTGTTTGTTAAAAATATTCTTAGTGTTACTGTCTCTTGTTTCTTTAAAAGTTTGTGCTTACTTGTTTTTGCTTGTTCCAAGAATTTCATGGTTAAGGGTAGCATTTGAAACTAAACTATTTTCACAGAGCGAAGGAGATATGTCTGTGTTGTTCTTTTTACTACTGCTACTCTACTGACCTCACTTGTAGTGGAAGGATAGTTTTTATAATGAAGTTTCAGAATGATGAAATATTATCATATATCATCACTGATGGCCAGGTTTGTTTTTAGAATGATGAAATTTTTTATCTTTATTTCCAGGATGATGAAATATCCTTATCACCAAGCATCACTGGTGGAAAGATCGTTTTTTAGAATGATGAAATATCCATGTGATAAGCCGGGAACACTAAAAATATCATATGCTCATGGCCTCAGAGTACTATTATGAGAAAGGAATATGAAGACAAGAGTGTTGAGGGAATTCGGTTTGAAAATTATGTGGTTAGTTGTAAGGGAGAGTAACAACACAAATGGCAGCAACATGTGTTTCAATGCAGTATGGTAAAAAAAAAAAACCCAAAAAAAAACCATTACACAAAATAAATAAAAAATAAAAACATTACTATATACACATATTTATTAATGTCAAGGTTCCAATACAGAATACTGAAATTTAAGATTAAAAAGTTCATAAATTCTGATCACATCATAAACTATTGTGATTGGTCGATCAATTTCCTCTTACTTGCCCATGACAGCTTTATTGTTCCATCAATGTTTATATGGCATTTTAATTGGTGCTTATTGCCATCTAGTTTAACAAAATCATAAAAAATGACAGGCATTTTAAACATTAAGTTATAATCCTCTCTTTCATTGAGTCTAGCTTAGGAAGAGTCTACCATATTTATGACAGGCATACTAATGATACCTGAAATAATGACAGAGATAACTAGTAAGGCGAAAATTTACAGACAGTAACAGCCATTTTGTGCATTATCTATTCAGTTAGCACATTTTTGCACCACTGAGGTCCCCACTCCACTCAATCTCACAAGTGTGGTTCATGATGACATTCAAGACAATAGTGCAATGGCTTGCCAGTTTGATGTTAAGGTTACCCCCCATCCCTTCTCTCAGAAGTTAGAGAGGCAAACCGACAAGGCAGAAAGTGGTTTGAATTCAGACTTTTCCTTCTCCAAGACTGGTTGCCAACCAAAGCTATAGGGACCAGCCTGTTCTGTTATTTTAGCTATAGCTGGGGTGGAGGGTTTGGGTTGGAAGAGATGGAGTCATACCTTTCGCAAGGGTATTAGTGTGTAAGTAAATGTAATGAACTCAACTGGGATTCAAAATCTGCTCTATCAAACCTCAGTACTCCACCATGCCTCTAAAAAGTTACAGACAAAACAGCCATTTTGTGTATCATGTAAGATAAATGAATAGGGGATGGATAGCTGGAACAATCAAACCATTTTTTAAATGAGAAAAAAGATTCAATGAAAACAAGTTTATAATGCAGTGTTTATTTTTAAACATAATGACTAATAAACCTGAAATGTTAATAATTTTTACTAATTGTAACCTAACAATTGATTTTATCAGGGTTGAATTAGAAAATGAATTTGCTTCTACAAATTGCTATAAGAGATGAAAGGTAGCAATTAGAAGCACCTTCAACATTCTGCTTTGTTAAATAAATGAAACTTCATCCAATTTCCACCTTGCTAGAATTGCTGTCACATCTAACTTCAATTGCTTTGATTGAATGATTAATTTTTATGGCTTATCAACCCATTGCAGGTAATTTAAAGCCAGAAATATTTTTAGATTGTAAGATTTTATTTTTGGAGATAATAATGATTTACTCTTACTAATTAACCCATAGCTGGGGGGTAGAGAGGGTGAATTCATACCTTTCCCAATGGTATTTTGGGCATAAGCGTATATAAAGAATCCAACTGGAATTGGAACTTGGCTCTCTGATTTCCAATTCCAAGCCATTATCCGTGACACTATCTGCACATCCAAGTTTACAGCACTTGGTATTCCTAAGTAGTCACCCATTTAGATACTGACCAGGTTTGACATTGCTTAACTTTGGTGATCGTATGGGAATCAGTCTTTCAATGTGATATGGCCATAACCCCAACTTCCATTGCAAGTTCAAGATTTTGGAAATATCTAAATAGAGGAATCTATTTCCAAAGTTATCTGAACTAATATCCTTATCTTTGTTGTTTGTTTATTTTTTTGGCTGAAGTCTTCTTCAGCCTTCCTTAAATGCCTAAATTCACAAGTTCCCTTGCCACCACTTCTTCATAGAAATTTTTTGATCTGCAATTTATGGTATGCAATTGTAATCCATTTATTTAGTATCGCAATAGATTGAAAATATGATAAAAGATCTTTTTTTTTTTCTTTCATGTGGATAGATCCCTTGACCTTTACCAGCTATCACATTGTACTCTTAGCACCAGTCCTTTATGTGCACAGGGATATTACTCTCTCATGCCTAATTAATCTGGAGAGGTTTCATAATAGGGATGGGAGAGGTGTAGAAAATTCCTACAAATTCAGATGGTGGGAGTGCAAAATAAGTTCGTAACATTAGTGCTGGTCTGTTTCGGAACGGAAGTTGAGAGGGCTGGCACAAAGTATAAAAATAAAGCTGCATATGTCATAATTTGTGGATATCATCATCATCACCACCACCACCAGTCCCATGATTGGACTGTCAGAACAGACTTTTCCTTTTTTTATTTTACAAACATTAAAAATGTTTTTATTTCAATCATTTTGCCAAGAAACTAGTTTGAAATATAAAACAGCATGTGCATAATGTAATAATTTTAATTTCAAGTAGGTTGGTTGGCCTGGGGGAGAGGGTCATGCTACGCAGCTGAGCACCCAACCAGCTTCTTATATAGTTGGTTCAAAGGAGAGAGAGAGAGAAAAAAAAAAAAAAAAAGATGATTTTTACAACATCTGACTTTTTATTTTTTAAGGATTCATATTTGTATATTGAAAGAGGTTCTTAACCCCAAGTGTAATAACAACCTTAATAATCTTAAACTCAACCATAATAATCCTCACCCCAATTTTAATAAATCTTAACCATAATCTAGTCAAGCTGCAATAGGGTGGTTTAACCCATTAATACCCACCATCTCATTTTTGGGATGGAAGGCATTAATGGATTACAGGTAGAAATCTATAATTGATCCCAGAAAATTTGCAATGGCCCCATTTCAAATAAATTATACCTTTTGTGCTAGAAATATAAATGGACTGAACATTGATAAAAATGTAAAATTAATAAATTTTAATTTACTTCTAGCTGAGTAAATAAAACATGATTTTTAACATATCTGATTTTTTTTAATTTTTTTTTTTTTAAGAATCCACATTTGTACAGTCAAAAAGATTCCACTGAAAGTTAACAATTCTTATTTCAGAATTTAAGAACATCTTAAGATGAAATAAAAATTAGAAATTGTAAACTTTTGATAAGATCTTTATCTATTCATGGAGTTGAATAACTTACTTGCAATTCAAATTATTACATTTACACACACACACACCATTTTATATTCCTGATTGTTTCTTAACAAAACATTATTCATTTATTGAAATAACAATATTTTTAATGTTCAAAACCAATGAAGTCTATTCTTACTGCAAATAAATAAAGTATGTTTTTCAAAGGCCATCAGCCATCTGTAGTATTAATAGACATCAGAAAAGGCCTGAATGAAGTTAATGTTCATCACGAACCTTTGATCTAAGAAGTGTTGATCTTTGGTGACCCCAATATATGCTGGGTTTACCCTAAGAGATAATGAAAAGTATGTTGCTTATTTGGTGTCAACCCAGAAAGTCAAAAGACCTAGGAGTCCTGAGGTTTGTCCTAGGTGGCCTTAAAGCCACCAACTGCAGAATTGGGCCTCAAAAGCAGGTCAGTGTGTGTACCAACATAAACAAGGAGGCGAACTTAGGATATACACATACAACTGGATAACAGGAAGTTATATAAACGTTCAACCAGTGAGGGGAGAAGGGTCTCCCTCACAAGAATAAGACTAAGTGTTCACAGAAATACATGAAACCACATACCTATGGATTAGCTGACATTAATTTGACAGAGTCCAGAAGTGAATAAACAATTATTTTAGATATTAAATTTAATCTTGTATTCTTGCCAGATGCGACTAGCGTCACATTATGCATGAAATAGATTTACAGGAGGATTGGGTTTGTAATTTCTAAAGAAACGGTTAAAATAATTTTATCTTTTATATTCTAAATATAAGTAGTCTGGAACACTTTTAGAAACGTTAAATTTTATCAGTTTAATTTAAAGTCAGTTATTTTTGCTTTGTGAGTGAAACAGCATTTTATCAAATCTGATTTTTTCTTCTTCTCCCAAACAAATTTCATTTTTATACTGAAAGAGATTCGACCATAATCAAGTAATTCCTATTTCAGTTTTTAAAGAACGTCATGTAATCAAAATTTTCTGAAATTCTCAAAACTTATTGGTATGTTCAGTTTGTCTGGGGGAAAAACAGGAAAAGAAAAAAACAAAAAAAAAAGTTCTTTTTATTTTTGTTTCTCACAATTATTGGCCTGCTCCAAATTTGCAAATTTTATCACGTCCACGATTTTTTTGATCGCCAATCCAAGAGGTCCCGAAAATCGTCCAACGCTGTGCTGTCATCGCTGTCAGAATCGTCATTGTTCTTTTGTGACTTTGCCTTCATTATTTCTTCTTTTTTGTTTTGTAATTCATTTATTTGGGACCATCGGTGTCTGGAATTAAACACAGTTGGGGAAAAAATATGTCTAAAAATGTATAACTTAAAGCAAACAATGAATGAAAGAATAAATTCAATAAAGAAGAGAAAGCCTCCACCACCACCCCCATGAGGGCGGGAGGGAGGATTTAAGGAAGATGAAAGAAGAGGCCCAGCAGGAAATACAGAGTTTGATGTTAATTTTTAGAAATTCAAATACAAAAAATTTAAAAAAGGAAAAAGTGATAGAAAAGAACTTGCATTATTTACATTTATCGGACTGCTATCCTCATCTTCACAACGTTTGGGCTGTTGTAAGCTCCAGCCTTCTTCAGGTGATTGGAATTTCAAACTGAACCCTTTATTTTGTCCACTGGGGTAGATTGTTCCAGTTCTACGCCTCTTCTGGATGTATCAGTTATTTCCCTTTAATTCAACTCTCCCAGTTTTTGGTTCACTACTGCTGTGGCCTGGTATTGAACTCACAACTTTTTTGTGTCTAGCCACTGGATCTAACCAAAGTCACTTATTTATATAAAATATAAATTATAGCTCTGTTGTTAAACACTGAGCACTATTAGCATCAGCAATGTGTAATGCTTTATATTCATACACACACACACACACACACAGATCGTGGTGAACCAAAAACTTGGACAGTTGATTTAAGGAGAAATAACTGAGTCATCCAGAAGAGGCATGGCACATGGAATTAGAACAATCAACCCTAGTGGACGAAATGAAGGGTTTTTGGTTCGAAATTCCAATCACCTGACGAGGGCTGGCATGTACAACAGCTGAAACATTGTGAAAATGATAATGAAGACGGGGATAACAGTCTGATAAATATAAATAATGCAAGTAATCATAATACCACATCTCAGAGATATAGACTGATAGAAAAGAAAAATATAAATTATTAGACAAAAATTATTAAATAGAAAAAATTAGACAAAAAAAAAGAAAAAATTAGAATAAATTATTAGAAAAAAAGCACACTCACTTTTTTCTGAGAGACTATTTTCTTTTATCAGATAACTTATAAAATTCAATCAATTCAGTTATTTACAATGTAATCAAGAGAGAATTATTAAAACCATTAATAGACTATCTCCTGTTTTTTTCCGGTCTGAAATGATTCAATTTTTCCTTAATGTTGATATTGTTCATTATTCAAATTAGAGCAAAGCAAAATACATATAATCTGTAAATTAGTTTGCAATAAGACATAAATAGAAAATAAAACCAGAATTCTTTTTAATAGCAGAAGAAAAAGAAAGCAGATTTAGATAGCTTACATTTGTTCATCAATTTCATCAATATTGCGATCTACATTTGCCTGTTCATCGTCCTCCTCCATAATAGCCTCAGACACCTGAACAGAAAGAGTAAAAGACAAGAATGCAAATTGTTTATTTTCATTTCCACCAACACTCAAATAATCTACCACATATACTCATATACATAAGTGTACTTCATATATCGTGTCACCCCTGAATTCCCAATTTTTTCATAGAGCTCATGTATAAAGTGACCCCAGCTTTTGAGCAATATTAGTAGGCCTACTGTAGTCAAATTTTGCATCCTGGACATATTTTATAATAAATATAGGCCTAGAGTGGATTAGTGAAGCTGCAAATATGTTGTAGCATGAGTGGGGTGTTGTTGGAGGGTTTGATTCTTGGTTAAGACGTGTTTGGCAGGTTGGTGAACTAAGGTCACAGTGGTGATATTGATAGATGCCTGGAGTGGATTAGTGAAACTTGATCGAGCAGGAATGTGTGTTGGGTCAGTTCATGGTGGTGACATCAAGAGAGGCCTGAAGTGTGATAGTGAACCCGTGAATCTGGTTTTCATAAAGTTGTGATAACGCCAAGAGAAGCCTGGAGTGTGATAGTGAGGCCATTGAATTGTTAGAAATCACAGTGACAAGAGCCAGCCATTGTTGACAGCTGGCCTGTCAGCCAGATTCTGTGTCAGTTGTTTATGAGTGACTTTCTTTAAAGCAGATCTGCTGGCTCCCAGGGTAATTTTTTATTTTTGCAGGAATTTCTTTCGTGGGACAGATGCGATGCTTGGAGCTCCTTGCAGAAGATGAGGAAGTGGGGAGGGGGTTGCTTTCTTAGTGCTCACATCTGACCAACAGGCAGAGTGAATCAGAAAGAGATCTAATTTGCAGAGGAGTATATCACTATATATTCCTCATGGTAATATGTAATTAAAAATATTATATTTATATATATATATATATATATATATATATATATATATGAGTAGGAATAGACACAGAAATATCAAAATAAACCTAAAAATAAAACTCTTCATGCTGTAAAGTGAGTATAAAAAAATCCACCCATTTTTTGAAGCTGAAAGGATGCACTCCTTTCATTATTATTGATATAACCCAAGCATGCAATATAGCCATTTTCTGATGTTTTCAATGTGTTCACATCATGCAAACTTTACCTGAACAGAAATAATTGCATCTTTTTTTTTCCTTTTTGTGGAACTTGACCCACCATCTGTAAACTGGCAACAGCCACATGACAGACCATGCTGCCACTGTAATGACATTGTCTACCAGGATTGCCAGTAGATTAATCTGGCACTGGAGGCTCAGCAAAGACCATGAGAACTGGATGGACAAGGTGGCTCTCGTGGCAACATAAGGCTCATTGATGAAGAAGAACAGATTGTGTGTGCTATATTTGAGCAAGGCACAGATTGAAAAAAAAAAAAGAAAAAAAAAAAGCTCAATTCTCAGTTTTAATTTGACATCTTTACTTAGTTGCTCTTTTACCATCACTTGTGTTTTCTTGAAATTTGTGTGGAGGCTGACTGTTTTGTTTGAAAATGCCATTTGTATTTGAGTAATGCTTTATTTAAAAAAAAAAAAAAGGTTTGAATGTAGAAACATGCATACACCTACTTTTTTGTCCCCACCCCACCCATCATAACACACTTATGAGAAATAATTTTGGAAAAAAATCCAATGTCTAAAAAAATGTCCTTACAAAAATCTATCTTATGCTGATATAAGTCTTGCATTCATCCATGCATTGAATATTGCTGTCACATTTGGTCTGGTACTTCTGCTATGTATTTAGAGACTTTTGACAAATTCCAAAGAAGAATCTGCAATGTTATCAGTCCTGACCTGGCATCTCAGCTTCAGTCACTTTCCCTATTGCCATAATATAGCTTCCCTGTGCCTCTTCTATAAATATTTTCATGGTAATTATTCTGATTGAGCTTTCCTCTTTGGTATCTGCACAGTACTAGATTGGCAGCTAGCTATCCTCATTTTACTGTTAAAATAGTGAAATGTAACCATAAGTTCGTTGCTAACAGTTTCTTCTCTCACACTTCTTGCTTGTAGAACTCTTTTTTGGCTTCTTGCTTTCCAATCCACTTGGATCTTCAAAAATCTATATACAATTACAATTGTTATTCTGTCTCCTTAATTCAGGTTTTCTTTTTTTATTGTTCTCTCTCCATAATATTTTTTTATTTTAGATACTTTCACACGAATCCCTTGCGTTTTAGTGTCTTTATTGCCTTGCTCGGGGTGAAATGATAAAAGAAAAAAAAAAAAGGTGTAAATAAAGAGATAAGCAAAAAGAATGATGAAAATGTCTTGGCAACCTACATGGGAAGCTTCTTTCATTTGCTTTTGGAAAAGTTCCCATTCTTCTTCCATCTTGTCTTTATATTCCACTTGTCGAACCTGAAATTTAAATAAAAAAATATCTTGTAAATAACAGCATTAAAGCCAACACAGTAAGTTTAGAAATAAAAAAATAAGGGCAGAAGTTCATCTACCTTCAACATGCTGAATGCTACTCATCATAATCCCAGCAGGTAGTCAGAATTATTTTATGTCACTCCACTCCCAGATTATCGTTTATAGCTCTTGGTAACATTTGTCCTCTACCATACCTTGCCCTTGTTCTGACATCCTTTGGCACACCCATTTTATACTTTTGACTTCATAAAGAAATATTGGTTGTCTAGAGGTTATAAAATGTGCTCTACTTAATAAATTATTTTATGAGGGCGGTTTTGCAATTAAGTAGGGGTGGGTTAAAATTGGTTGTCTTTTTAAGGTTTTCATTATTTAAGTCAACTGATCCATGTGTGTGTGTGTGTGTATATATATATATATATATATATATATATATATATATATATATATATATATATATATATAAAATAAAATTTTTATGAGGGTGTTTTTTGCAATTAAGTAGGGGTGGGTTAAAATTGGTTGTCTTTTTTTATAAACTGAGGTTTTAAGCTTTTCATTATTTAAGTCAACTGATCCTTGTGTGTGTGTGTGTGTATATATATATATATATATATATATATATATATATATATATAAAGTATTGCACATTGAGTGCTGGTGCTAATAGTGCTCAATGTATAACAACAGAGCTACAACTTATATTTCCTATAAGTGGACTGCTCAATTATCATTATAGTATATGGTATAAATATCAATATTTAAATTATGCAACAGTCAATTTTCAATCAGCACCTGACAATAGCATCGTGCTCAGAGTTATGCTACCAGTGAAGGGAAAAAAATGTATATTTATTATTAATATACAGTCATCTCTTGTCACTTTGTGCTTTGACTTTCATGGTTTCACTCTAACGTTTTTCTTTTTCAGAGCTTTTCATTAAAAAGCTCATATCATGGTTCCTTGCTGCTTTGCGGATGACTACGGTCTACTAGAGGGTTGGAAAAAAGTTCTTGCCCAAATCTCAGAAGCAGACACAGCCAATCCTTCAGTTGATCAAGACAGTGAAAATAATACAGCACATGCTCAGCTGTCTGAGCCAATTATACATCCCTCTATTAAAATTACTGTAGGCCTAAGTATTCAAGCACACCTGCAAATCCTTTAACACCTGGTGCAGCCGCTCAACCACTCCTTGGGTAGAGAAAGAGCTTTTTTTTTCAGGCTTGTATTATTCAAAAATCAGGTGTGGTGAAACCAAGGCAATTAGAATGTGCTGTTCACTGATTGGCTATTGTTGTGGGTGTGCTGTGGATCGATGATGAAGTGATGTATATGTAAGAACATTGTGATTTTAATGTACAATAATAATAATAATAATATGATATTTGTAATGTCTAATGTATTTGATTTTCTGTTATTTTGTCTAATATATTGGGTAATATAAGGATGTTATTTACAGGTTTTTTTTCATGTCAAGAGGAAAACTTATCTTAGCCAATGAGTAGTTTCATCCTCAGAGGGGACATTATCAAGGAAAATTTGCCCTGATAAAGACCCTCAGAGGACGAAAGGTGTCAGCTAAGACAAGTTTTCCTTTTGTCTTTGTCTTTCTATATATATATATATATATATATATTATATAAATAAATATTAAAAAAAAAAAAGTGTATTTTGGTAGCAATAATTCTTTCACACAAATTTTGTCTATCAAATTTTTTATTAGATTTTTCAAATTTATGAACAAGTTGTTTCATGTTATTGGTAAATGTGCCAAGTTTATATTTATTTATTTTTTTTTTTTTTTTAATTTTTCTCTGGGTACTTTCAGTTGTTGCTACAGTCATTTTCATATTATTATATATATATATATATATATATATATATATATGTGAGTGTGTGAGTGTGTTTGCATGATAAAATGATTTTTATGAAATACCCAACCAAAGTATATAAATTGAATATATGAAAACCAGTTGGATGTTTCACTTTTTTATTCTGTTGTCAAAGTTTCATCTAATACAAACATCAACAAAACAACTGGAGGAAAAAAAAAAAAAAAAAAAAAAATTGTTATTATGACAATCTTGGCATTTATAAATGCTGTGGTTAATTTGAAAATTTTGTGAAAATTTAACAGTTAATAAAATTAAGAATAAATATATATATATAAAATATAAATTTATATATATATAAATAAAATACCTGAGATTTGTACAAGGGAAAATGTTAAAATAAATCTAAGATTTTTGATGTAGAAAAATAAGTGTTATGGTAAGAAAAAAATAAAATGTTTATATCCAAAGAAAATATTGACCACAAAATAATAAAAATATGTTAAATTAATAAATAAAAATCCTTTATCTCTTCAGAAATTGCCTTGTTTATGTTTCAGATATGAAACAGCAATTATTTAAAAAAAAATCTGAATGAATAAAGTGAGCTTAAAGGCAAAATAGAACCTTGCTTGATCAAAGGTACAGCCAAATTATTCAGCACATACAAGATGAAACACCAACAATATTTTTGCCTGGTGGAGGAATAACTCTGATATCTTGTGAATATCTATGCAGATGATACCACCATAGTTCCTAGGTGCACCTCTAGATAACCAGAACCTGGCAGCTGATCTCTCCTCTGACCTACCCCAAACAGCTCAATGGGGTAAAAACTGGCTGGTCACATTCAATACCTCCAAAATCAAACTTGTAACATTCCACCATCACAAAGCAGCCACTGAATTTCTGCCTATCGCAATAAACAGATGTTCTCACAAGGTGGCCTCTTGTCTTGAACACCTATTGGGACTTAACCCAGATGTAAAGTGGAACTCATATATACGATCCACAGCTAAAAACACTGGAAAAATGGTCAGTTCTCTATACCTCTCCAGTAAGTATCGATTGGCTCCTGATATGCTCTAGCTTTACAAGAGCAAGATCAGACTGAAAATGGACTACTGCTGCCCAATCTTCCCTTTCCAGTTTTGATAGAGTTCAAAAATGTCTATACGGCCTTGTGGGCCATGAATTGTTTTCCACCTTAAAAGCACTTTCCTCAGAGACAAGATGCTGCATGTCTCTCTCTACTCTACTGTTATTTCCATGGAAATTTTTAAATGAGCTACATTCCTTGGTTCCTCAAAACTAACCCTTGAAGCTAAGACCCACCACACCACAAAGATTCCCTTCGTATTCCATTAGTAAGGAGCAAGTTTCACTTGAATAACTTCTTCCCAAGAATTGTTGCTTCACAGAATAAAATCTCAAGAGGATGTTTTCCCAACCACTACAATCTTCAAGTCTAGTGCTTATCATTATCTTTCCTCACATATCTGCATAAACTTTTACCACTCACACAACAACCAACTTCAATACCTTTCTACATTGAGTGGCTCTTGGGCTTCGTAAAGGTCGAATAATAGGAGAAAAAAATAGCTGCCCTCCTTTGGTGCGTTTGTGTGTTTTAGGGGAAGTATTCTTTATAATCACTGTCATATTCCTGGTGAGGAAAGCAATCCTTATGGCAGTCCTCTGTCTCTTTCTAGGTTAGGGACAAATTTCATGCTCGACTATACATAAATACTCATATAGAAGTGAATTTTTTTTTTTTTTTTTTTTTTTTACAAGTCTCACATAGGACACTATATGCCAAAAGACCTCTTCCCTCAATCCCATTTTTTTTTTTTTAAATAAAAAAAGTCTTAACAAAGGTACAAATAAAATCCCTACAAAAAATTGTAGTTTTAGAAATCTTAGTAACACTAGAAAAGAAATAGAAAGAAGAACGAAACGAAAGAGGAAAGGATGAAATGAACAAATACCCAAGGGAAAAGTATGAATATAGGAGTAGATAGCCTATCATCTGGTTCATATTCCTCCCTGATTTTTTTTTGAACAGGAGTAGTGGTTTATCAATTGTTTTCTGTTTAGGATTGGGTCTCCAGTTCCTTATAAAGTCTACTTCAACTCTACACTCCTAAAGTCTCAGGCTGAATTCTGAAATTTTATTCACTAATTAAATCTTGAGCTCATCAAATCTAGAATTTGCAGTCTATCTTTCCTGCTTTCTTACGCTAATACAACTCTACACAGTAACCCTCTACCTTGAGTGACCCTTGGGCCTTGTATTAGGTGCACATTATTAAAAAAAAAAAATTAAAAAAATAGTAGGGGAGACTGAACTCTCTAGCTGTGGTTGGCAATCAGTATAGAAGGACAAGTCTGAATTCAAAACCATGTGTCTCTAGTGGGGCACATACTTGAACTATACTTGGTCTGTTCAATATAGTTGTAGTATAAACAAGAGGTTGGTTCTGTCAGTTTTGGACAAGCATAAATAGGCCTGAGCATATGAGCATGTTCAGAAACAAGCAGCCACACTGATTTACAATGTGCTTTCAAGTCATAACAGCTTTGATAATGATGATGAAAAGATTATAGAGTCCACAGTTACTTGTAGCACAGAGTTGTGGACTATGATGTTGAATTTTACTGTACTATAATGTAGGGGGGGTGTTATTATTATTGTTATTATTTTTTGGCTTTGCGTATTGTCACCATACAGTGATATTACTGATCTATTTATACGAGGGCGGGCTGAAAAGTTCATAGGCTGACTATGAAGGAGTGTCGCTAGAGCTGTGAAATCTTGCATGCATTAATTTCAACTCTTCTTATCAATAACCGCATTGTTTCTTTTCAGGTAAACTGATATCTGACTGTTGAAAGAAGACTTTTAAAAGTAACTAGTATCAATTTCTCTTGAAGATGGTCAAAATTTGGTATCGCAGCTTTATCAAGTACCTGCAGAAAAACAATTTAGCCCCCAAAGACTTTTGTGCTGACATAGTTGCTACATAAGGGGATGACACACCAGCTTTATTGGCAGGGTCAAAGTGGACAGCTGAATTTAGGTGGGGAAAGGAGACTCTTGAAGATGACCCAAGGTTTGTATGTCCTGTGACTGCTACCACCAAGGAAAACATTGATCGTGCTCACCACATGGATGACTGGCAATTGAATATAAATCAAATAGTCAATGCTATTTGCATATTCCGTGAGAGAGTTGAGAGTATTTTGCACAATGAAATTGGCATGACAAAGGTTTCTGCTCAGTAGGTGCCATGTCTTCTGATATCTGATCAAAAGTGTACCAGGCTGATCACATCACGGGAAAACTTGACATTGTTTGAAGCAAATTTAGTAGATTTCCTTGGATGTTTCCTAACCCAGGATGAGTGTTGGGGTCATCACTGAGTCAGAGACAATCCGAACAGCAGAAACACCTCTCCTTACTTGCTACAGGTCAATGTCATTTCCTATGCAGGGAAAATGATTGTCTCAGTTTTTGCGATACAAAAGGCATCGTGTTTATTGACTATTTTCAAATGGGCCACATTATCAATGGAGAGTACAATGCCAAAATGCTGAGGTAGTTACAAAAGGCTATCAAAATCAAATTCCAAGGAAAACTGACAAGAGGAGTTTAGTTTCGTTAGAAAAATTCTCCAGCACACATGTCCTTGGTTTCAATGGCTGCTGTGCATAATTGGTTTTGAACTAGGTGATCACACTACTAATTTGGCACCATATGACTATCATCTGTTCCCCAACATGAAAAAACACTTGGTTGGGAACTAGGGATGATGATGTCATATCTGCAGTTGATGACTTTTTTGACCAACAGGAAGAAAGCTTCATAACCAATGGGATTGAAGCACTGCAACACCAATGGAAGAAGTACGTGGACCGCAAGGGGGACTATGTTGAAAACTAAACCTCATTTGGTCACATTCCGTGACAGCATCTTGGTCATCCAAAAAACTTTTCAGCTGACCCTCATAGTTATTGCATAGTGAAAAGAACAGTAACTTATCACTGTTTGACAATATTTTGGGGGGTATTTTCACTGAGAATGTAAAATAATTTATGGCTACTTATCAATTACCGCCAGTGGAAATTAAAAAGGTATTTCATAAAAATACATATATTTCATATTAAAATCAAAAGGTATTTTATAAAAGGCTGTGTTTTATCACCATACAGGGAACTTCTACGTAAGTGATTTTCCTCTATGTTGCCTTGGCTGGTCGGAGAAGGATGGTCTGGAACTCATTCTATGAGGACTGGAGGGGGGGGACTGTTTACAAAACACGAAAGCAGTAATTCTTTAACTACTTTTACTGACTGTTTGAGTGATAAACAAAGCTTTCGAAATTCTTCTTTCGATACTTCTCATTATCCGCTCACCAGCTCCTTCTAACTACTTCCAGTGATAAACAAAGCTCTTGATTATCCTTCTCTCCCAATCCATTTTCATTATCATCATAAAATTTAACCTATGTTAGTATGGTGGTGATAGCGTTGCCTGTAAAAAAAACAAAACAAAAAACAAACAATAGTTGGTCCTTCCTACCTTGGCATCCATAATGGGGTCATCAAAGAATCCCTCTGGTAAGACCTCTGAGATTTTCTTGTCAACAGTAGAAGCATTTTCTTTTGTCACACCATTTGGCGCGTCAAAGAAATCTGCAAAAATTGAGGTGTAAAAAAAAAAAAATTAAATAAAAATTTATGATGAATTTGGATTATACAGGGTGTGGTAGAAATACCTCCCACAAGACATTCACCAGATGAAGACACCACTGCTACTAATCTTTTACCATTTTGTGGTAGGTATTTCTGCCACATCCTGTATAAAGGCAAGAAGAAAAAAAAAGGATTTGTTTGTTTTAAAGATATATTTAGTGACATTAACTGTAGAATGAATTGGATTTTCAGATGAGTTTATAGTCCAAACATTGTATCTAATATTCTGAGATAAAGTATCATCATTATAATGGTATCTTCATAAATGAAGACACCATTGTCACTAATCTTTTACCATTATGTGGCAGGTATTTCTGCCACACCCTGTATAATGAATCATTCCTAAAAGTCCAGGATGTGGAATTGTGACACTTTAAGAGTTGAAGGGATAGTTCGATAGCCATACCGAGAGAGATGTGACACCTTAAGTGTTGAAGGATAGAGTGATAAACAAACAGAGACAAGACCAGATTTTAGTAAATTCAGAGGGTTTGTTTTTTTTTCTTCCTTAGATAAAGGCAAGACAGAAACATTTGATTTTTTGTTTACAAAAACCATATGGCCAAAGTTGACAATTGACTATGAAATGCACCTGGTAAATAATGGGTTGTCAGCATGTCAACCAAAGAATACAGATATGAGGACCTCTGATGACCAAGTCAGGAGTTTGTCTGGCTGGGAGTAAAATGGCTGTATTATTATTTTGAGGACTCCAGTCAAAAAAGTCATCTGGATAATTTAAACCCATGGGGGATGGAGAGAAGCAGTATAAAAGCTGAAATGGAGACACTATTGTTTTTAAAATACAGGTTACAGAATTATTTGCCAAAATCTGGTAAGGAAATGTCAGTCGAGGGATAAAATTAAAGGTTGGGGAATTGTTTTTTTCATCACTTGTCAAAAAAGGAAAGGAAGGTGTGAATTGCTGAAGAGATGAGATTTCTTTGGATAAGAGATGAAGTGCCACAAGAAGAGGAGGTCAGGGGAACAGCAGATGAATGCCCGATTGAGAAAGTGGAATGGGTCAAAGAATTCCATTGATGAAAATTTTGAACATTAATTAAAATTAATAATTGGAGCTAAGCCATGCCTGGTTGCCCATGCAAGTCTAGAGATAGGATTGGTCAGGTGACCATAGAAGTGAAGGGCCTAAGTGGAATCTCAAGGGAAGTGGAGGAATTGCCTACAATCTTTGGGCTGTATTGGTATGAGGCACAAATATGAGAAGTGGGGACTTAGGGTGGATTGATATTCTGCTACCACTACTCCTCGGAGGAGGGGATCTCTCCAAAATTGGGCATGCAATTAATTTTCCAGAGTCTAATAAAGAAAGAACTCTCTGTGGAGATTAAGGGAATGGCCAAAATCCCAACCCCATGCTGGTTTGGGACAGAGGTCCATATAAACAGAGAATCAAAATGATTGAAGAGAGAAGCCGCTAAATGCCAGGCAAGAGACAAGTGCTTCACCAGATTTCCTAATGCTGAAGAATGCCACCAACTTTGAGCTGTGTTCCAGAAGCCTTGTCTAGACTTAATCACAACAAAGTGTCACAAAATATTCAAAGAGGGAAGACTCGAATAACTTTGCATGACAAATATGTTCCTGATATTGTACTATCAGCTCTGTATAAGAAACGTTATATAAAACGTTTTCTTTATTACAATTTATCCTATGACTTGTAGCTTCACTCTGTCTGGTCCGGACCAGACCAATTCAACGATTCCTGTCAACAATTTGATCCTTGCCAGCCTTGTGATCTAAATCAAACACAATGTGGAACAAGGCAAGGCTTGTATCGAAGTGATCCATTCGACGGTCAGTCACAGGGATCGAATGGACTGCCTGGGTGAACATCGCAACATCATAAAATTAGTAACATGGATCAGTTACAAGTTTAGTAAAGAAGATAAGGAAATTGAACATAAGATAGCTTGTATTAATGGTAATTTCACCCAACACTGCAAGCGCTGTGGTAAAACCAAAGCATTAATCTAAAAACTAGAATCATGTTCTTAAATAGCATTGTCAGATTGAGAATTTCATTTGGATGTCATGCATGGTGTCAAATTCGTTCAGAAATATCTAAACTGTTGGCTATATACAATGGTTAAAAATGGATTTGAGCGAGCGAAGCATGTAGGCCTCAACAAGGACCATCCTGCATTGAACCCTCATTGACAGGTATGACAGAATCACAAAGAACTGTAGCAGATTAAGAGAAACTAAATCCCTTGAGGGCTTTCAATAACAGCAACAACAGAAATGGGCTGCAGATGTAACTCGAAGAGAGAATAAAGATATAATGAAGATGCTGATCTTCCGGACCCCCGCCCCAATACTGGAAAGGGCATTAGCACCTACTGGACTTGAGAAACCTATTTTCCTGAAAAATTATTTTCAGAGAAAGATTTTATAAATGCCAACTGATAGCAACACTAACTGCTCAGTCAATGAATGCTGAATGTTTCCCTATAAGGAAATCACTAATATTACTGTTGAAGATGAGAACAGATACTACGCATTGATCCCAATGTGATGGTCAGGGAGTCAAGAAAAGCATAACTTGACTAGCACTGTCTGCTCAGTCAATGAATGTCGAATATTTCCTTATAAGGAAATGGCTAATATTACCATTACAATCTGACCAGTTTCATCTTTGTTGTATTTAATGTTTTGGCCAGACTACTTCCTGTCCTTCATCAGATGTCTGTAGAATTTGGTAACCTTCTGAGAATTTCAAATATCCCTTTTCTCTGATCCACATAGTATTCTCATTCCATTACCTATCTCCTCCTTGGGAATTTCAGAACCTATAGCTGTCAATTCATTGGGTCTATTCATTTTATCGAATCTGCATAAATTAACAATGACAATACTTTTTAGGGAAGCTGGTGTTTTTTTGCCCTCCAAGAAAAAAAAGAAAGACAAATCGTTTGAAATAATGAGCTGCTTATAGTCTAAACATTCATAAGTATTTATTCGTTTACCTGCAGGTAAATCAGCTTTGCTTGTGACTTCTGAACTTGATGGGGTCTCATTTTCAACAGGAGGATGACCATTGACATCCGTTTCTTTCCCTGCCTCGTCTTCAGATGACGATTCTTCAGAACATGTGGCAGCTAACTGCTTATGCCAAGCACTGGGATCAGATTGGGAAGTCTGTGTTGGTGATTTTGTCAAACTAAAAAAGAAGTTTTATAAATTGTGAATCATTCTTCACTTTTAATTGATTTCTAACCAACCTTATATATACTTTTTTTTAGTACACAAAGATTTACTAAATTTAATTACTGTTGGCATAGGTACAAAACAGTATCCTAGATTAGATTAATATTCTAGTCTAAGATTAGATGCTTCTGTCAGACAACAGAAACAAATCAATTACAAAAATAGACAAATATCAGATCATTGCAAAAGTTTGTGCCTGATGTTCATTAATATAAAATGACCAACTCGAATCTGGCATTTGTTTTGGTGCTGATTTCTGGTGTGTTCTAGATTGAAATCTTGCATTGTTCAGTTGTGAGTTGGACTTTGTTGAATATTGACATTTTGTCCACAAATGAATGCCTTAAAGATGGAGGATGAAAAGTTGCACTTTTGCCATATTATGCTTTATGAATTTTGGAAAGGAGTAAGCATTAGAACTGTGACAAAAAAAGCATTTAGGTTTATTTAGAGCATGCTTTAGCTTATTGGATAGTCAAAAAGTGGTTTGGCAGATTTTGTCAGGGTGATTTTAACCTAGATGGTCAACCATGTGTCGGGTGACCTTCTGATGTTAATAAAGATGCTCAGCTTCATGGAGAATGAACTGAAAATTTCAATGGAAGAGATCGCTAAGAATTTGAAAAATCAATATCTTAGCTGCCTTTCACTATTTGAAGAGACTTAGGTTTGTTTCTAAACTCAATACATGGGTGCCATATTCTCTAACATAACAAGTTCGATCATGTTTCTGTGTCAATTTCTTTGCTGCTGCACCATGAAAAAGAGATGTTCTTGGATAGAATTGTCATAGGTGATGAAAAATGGATCATTTATGATAATGTTTAATACAAACAGAGCTAGAAACAGGCTTGTGAATGTGCAGAAGCAATGGCTAAAGTGGGATTGCATCCAATGTGGTTGTTGCTGTCCTTTGAGCTTCTTTCATGTGGTAAGGCAATAACTTCAAAGTATGGTGACCAAATCATCAATTTCAATGTGGCTATTCAAGAAAAATGTGTAATTTTAGTAAATTGAAAAGCTATCATTTTCTACCATGTCAATGAAAGACTGCATCTCTGCAAAACAGATCCCCCTGCAGAATCTTAAAAGGTTGAGATGGGCAACCCCCCTCTAACACCCACTGTATTCTCCTGACTTAGCTCCTTCAGATTTTCATGTTCTGGTCTCTACAGAACAATTTAAATAAAAAATTTGGCTCTTTACAATTTAGTCGAAAACTACCTCACAAAACTTCTCCCAACAAAAAGTTTCTACTAGAATGGTATCAACAATCTTGTGGGAATACGGGAGACAATGTACATGACTAATACACGTTTTTCTTTTTGACAACATGTAAAATTTTGGTTTTAATTTTTTAACTGGGAACAAAATTTTTCCATGAACTAATAATAATAATAATAATAATATTACATATTTATTTATTTTTTTCATAATAATTCATCATGACTAGACCTAGAAACTTCAACAGAAAAGCACTGGACGGCCGTTTCGTCCTATTTTTGGGACTCATCAGAAGTGAGCATCCACTACAGAGATTTGAAACCAGACTGTTACAATACAAGGCAAGCGTCATACCATTGATAAGTGGGCACTGAGCGTTGACAGTCTGTTTCATCCTTGAATGCAATCTTCAGGCCATGGTGTGCAGACATGAAACAGATTGCTTTTATTCAGTCTTCATATTCATAATATTTACATACACTCTATCCCTGATGTTTCTGTGTCATAAATCAATGAAATTGTTTAAAAGTAATGAAAATGGAATTAATAATAATAATAATAAGGGTAGGAAAAAAAAAAAAAAAAAAAAAAAATCAAAATATCTCAGGTTTATTTTTCAATTTGCTAATGATGTAATTGTATAGTATTTATGTATTTTTAACACATTTAATAGTTTACAGCTATAGTATAACATACAACCTTAAATCAGTTTTCATTATTTTTTAACAAAAGTTCATCAAATTATGATACAGGAAATCAATTATTTTATAGAAAGTCATAACCTATATATATCAAAATCTATGACAAAGCGGGGAAAGGTTTTTTTTTGTGGTACAGGGATTGTCTAATAAAATTCTAAAAACAAAACGCACCACAATTTTTTTTTTTTTTTACAAAAACACAGACACACACACACATATATATATATATATATATATATATATATATAATTATTTATATATTATATGCACGGTACTTATTAGAAAGTGCTCAATATCAGAGATAAATAAAATATTTGACATAATAAAAATGTGTTATATATATATATATATATATATATATATAACAAACACACATTTTTATTATGTCAAATATTACTATAGTGGATTTGAAATAGTCTCCGGAGTTTTGTAAACAAACTTTTTTTGTAATTGTTTGGTCTGCTAGTAAGAAGGAGGAAGTAGGGTGGGGGGGGGCGAGGATAAGTACAACAAATGCCATTTAACATTGATACATTAAAGATACAGAAATGATCAGCTGTAAATTTAAATTTTGACATGTAAATTTGTTTAACTTGGCTGATTTCATTCACCCCCACACAAAAAGAAAAAGAAAACTTATTTTTATTTATCTTTATTGTTTTTACTTATACCACATTATATCAGTAGTAATTTTATAAAGAAAGAAGGTACAGTGAAAATAAAATTAGTGCACTCTCAATACAATTTTATCTTAAGAATAAATTTATCTTTTAGTCATTTAAACATCCTAGGATCAAGTTTAGGTCATTAAAACATAACAATAGTAATAATCTAATATGCTAATCAGGACTGGCATTTACTATCCCCAAAGACCCACAACCAGAGGAGTCTCAAGCTTGATTAGAACCCCACCCCATGATTGGTGCTTTTGACTCTTGCTATCTTATCAACATGTTTTTTTCTATCTACATTCGTATATGTTACAAATTAAAGTAAGCATAACTGACTATTAAATTATTAAATTTTTTTTTTAGATTCATTTTTTCATTCATAATGTTGAATGTGTTAAAATTATTCAACTTTTTAACAAGAAGAGTTGATGTTAAAAATTGCTGCAAAACATTGTTGATTTATTTAAGATGGAATGATCTATTCTGACAGGTCTCTTTAGATACATTGTATATATTTTCAATTTTTCTAGTTGAATTGTTCACTTATATAGCATATAATCCATTATTGTACAAAATTAGGTTACAGTAAAATTTGTATTTTATATGAAAATTGAGATCTAGTAGATTTGGGGGTCCCGTGTATCAGAGGTTAAGAATCACGAGACCCTTGCACCAGCTTCGATGCAAATTAAAATTAGATCAAGATGGAGGGGAAAAAAACTGAAAAAATGGGAGATAACTCAAATACATCATTCCACCCCCATTTCCTTCAAGGAGGAGATAACTCCTAAATACCACAATGGTTTCATTCCAGGTTATGAAAAAAAGAATCCTATTTTTTTTTTTGACATCCTGTCTTATATAACACGATGTATTAATATGGAAACTTCTGTAATAGCTAAATAGTATAGTAATAAAAGCGAAATCAGTCAGAGAGTAAAATTCAATAACTCGGAAGCGTAAATAGATTTGAAAATGATAATGAGAAAGGCATTTGCTGATTAGGTCTAATTCACTTTAGTTTCCTTTTACAAAACTATAATGAAATTGGGATGTGCAGATAGCATAGGTGTTATCAGTACTGAAAGTGAAACCATAGAGCTGAGTTCAAATTCAGGCTTCGTCGACTGCATTCATTTTTACATTAATGCTTTTGAGAACGGCATGAGTCTATCTCTTTTCCCTCCCCTGGCTAGGGTAAGCTGGGCTCTCTAGCCTTGCTAGTTGAAGAGAAGGAAGACTGAATGCAAAAATGGAAAAGGTAACAGGTGACTACTATCTTTCTAAATAAGACAAAGCAATTCCCAGATAATAAAAAAAAAGAAATAAGTGGAGAGCCATGATTGCCTATGTCTGTAAGAGACATGGCATAAGAAATAATGAAATGCTATAATTTTGACCCCTGTTTTAACTGATAATTAATATTGAAATGTTAGAAATTTTCTCAACTGTAGTTGACAGTTACCTCCCCTCGATATTTACAAAATAATTTCAGACATCCTCGTTTGATAATACACTGAACTCAAAAAACTGTCTTCTCAGTTCTGAAGTTTAATAAATATCTACTGCGGCAGTTCTGGAAATGTGGTGTAGATCTTGAAATAATAATGAAATCAAATATAAAAACCACAGCATGCTAAAATTAGCTACAGGTTGGTGCCAAACAAAGGGGGAGATAGGAATAAATGGGTAGGTTGGAAAAACAAAAAAAATCAGAAAGTGTCATAAGTTGGTGATAGTTTTTTTAATTTTATTTTACAATGATGTTCACCCTAGACAAGGCCCGAGAGCCATTAAAGGCAGAGGGTTACAGAGTAAGAAGCACAGTTTATGCATATGTGTGTAAAAGATAATGGTTAACTTTAGACTTGAACAGGTTAAGATTATTAGTGATCAGGGAAGCATTGTCTCGAGAGTCTGTTCCACAAAGCAGATGTTTGTGTGAAGTTGCTCGAGTGGAACTTGCATCTCACTAATGGAATATGAAGAGAATGAAGATAATGGTAATAACAATTTTCTTATACGGAAACATTTGGTATTCAAGGATCAAGCAATAAGTGCAACTCTTATTTGAAATTTATAAAAAAACATTCTATTAAAACAATTTCTCAGGAAAATAGGTTTTTCAAGTCTAGTATTATTGCTCTTTCCAGTATTGATGGGAGTTTCCTTCCTAACCTTTTGTTCAAAGTCGTGCAGTATATCAACATTTTGATTATATCATTTTCTTTTCAAGTTATACATTATTTCCATTTTAGTTGTTGCGACTGTTGGCAGTCCTCGAGTGTCATAGTTTCTGGTATTTGGTACAGTCTTTGTGATTCTGTAGTGTCAGTTCACAAGGTTTGAAGAAGAATGGTCCTTTTTAAGATCTATATGCTTCATTTGTTTGAAGCCATTTTTACCCACTGATCTGAGAAAATGGTTGCATACAGCAGATAGTCTAGATATTTCTGAATGAGTTTGGTGCTATACATGTCATCCATATGAGAGTCTGGATCCGACAAGGCTAAGAGTTTTTAGGTTAATGCTTTTCATTTTGAAGCAATTTGCAGTGTTGACCAAAGACCTTTGTGCAGCCTATTCTATGTTGAATTTTTATTTCTCCTATACTAAATTTGTTATAACTGACTGATACATCAAAGTATTTGATGTGTTTATTATTTACTTGAGAAAATCTAATAAACACTGTAGTTGTCAGGAAATAATTAAAAGAACATGTTATCAAACTATAAACAAGATCTAGAACTGAAAAAGGAAAAAAAAAAAAAGGGTCCAGCAATTCTTTTAAGTAAAATGCTTTAGGAAATTTGAAAATATTTCCATGAAGTTTTGACAATATTACAAAATAAAACGTCTGAAACATACAGGGTGTGATGAATAAATTGTTGTCTAAATGACACAAAAATGAAAATAACACTGAGATCTCATTTTAATAGATACATTTACCAAAATTACACAAAAATATCTTGAAATACTAAACAGTAAATTTATTCAATAAAATTGGCATTGGCTTCAACCACAGACTCCAGATGACTTTGGAATCTCTTGCAACTCTTCTGGACCGTCTTCTAGTGTGTTTTGTTTAAGTTGGTGAATGCTGCCATAATCCTTGACTTCAGTTTATCTTTGGTGTTACAAGGACTTTTGTTGGTCCCTCGCTCAAATAACCCAAAATTCATTTTAATGGTATTGTACTAATAAACATTGTACAGTATGTTATTTTTGGTGAGTAATGGCAACAAAACAAAAATCAGACCAATATCATATAAATTTCTCCTAGCATATCCAGTAGAAAGATTGATATTTAGTCTATTTCTAATGTTGGAACTGATTAAATAAATCTGGAGGCCAAGTGACTAGGGATCTGCTCCCCAGACAGCACCTTCCCATTGTTTGAAGTTTCTGTCTGCAGCAACAACAAGGAGAACTGCATTTTGGAATTGCGCGCACGCACACACATACAAATATTTTCTTTGATTTATTCTAAGGCTAAAAATGATTTTGTTTTATTTAAGAATCGTATGTAAAGCGTTTGAGAACTTACTTGGATTTTACAGCTGGATCTTTCTCTTCTTCTGAAAAATAATAAAAAAAGTATTTTATAATCCTATCCATTTAATTAACAATAATGTTAACACAATTTACACTGAGGGATGGAGTGTTAAGTTAATATAAGACAGCTAAAAAAATAAAATTATTGTAGTTTTTAATACTTTACAGTAGGTACCTCTACTTGCTAACTAAAAAAAAAAAAAAAAAAAAAAAAAAAATAGCATGATGAAAAAAAGGACCCAAACTTAATAAAAACAAAGTTTTATCGTCAAAATATTAATATTATTAAGAGGAAAGACCAAAGTATTATTGTATTAAATTTTTTAATCCTTTCTAGCACATCTGAAATTGTGGTTAAAATCTTGTTTTTTTTTTTTGTTTTTTTTTACGTCAGTGGTTGACATAATATTTACGATTAGTTTATATATATGTATTTTTAAAAATTTTTTTTTACATATGCTACTTAATTTTATGAAATTTTGAGAAATTAAATTGCTATCTCAAAATTTGTTTTATTAGTTAAAAGCAGGACTCCTTGGGGAATTTAAATAAGATTTATTAAGAACACTATTGTCTTAAGAAAAATAAATTTTTTGATGAATAATGAATTTTTACAAGAATTGTTTTCATTTTTTTTAAAAATCTTAATTACAATAATTTATATTATAAATCATTTAAATTCTGCATTACTCCAATCTGGTTGGGTGATATTGTTATTAAGTGAAAACTATATTTACAAATCAAAAATTGAAAATTCAATAAAAGTTGTTTACACCTAATATTTTAAAAAAAGTTATATATATATATATATATATATATATATATATATATTGCATGATGTGTCCCTGTTTGAAAGTATGGTTGACCATATACAACATAATCAGAAAATAAGAGCAATGACTATAGTAAATTTAAATTCAACATTCCTAAAATTAAATTACGGAGAATATTTTCCAATATTTTTAAGATTACTGAGTACTTAAAATTTATAAAAAAAGGCACTCACTTGTCATTTTCTTAAATTATGTTTTAACAGATAAAGTCTCCATAGAACAAAAGTAAAGGTGGTGACAGATTTTGTCATCACTCATTAAGTGATCTATGAGTGACAAGTAATGGTGATAAGGATGTAATCACTGCTACTGTTTGTTTTAAAAATCCACTTCTGTTATTTTAAACTTAAAGTAAATATTTTTTTCAAATCAGATTAATTATACTTTAAATCAGTTAATATTCCTCAAATAAAGTTTCAAAAAGTATATTTTACTTTTGGAAGATTTTTAAAATCGAGAATTAACTTTTGTTTACAAATGTATCAAAAATGGCTGGTATTTATTGCTTTTCTGAAAGTGATCAAAAAATTGAGATTCTAGTCAATAAGTTGAAATACACCAGAGTATTTTGCTTACTGGAAATAGTAAATTTAATCATTTGGCTTTCAATTAAAGCTAAAATGAACGCTTTTCCATTTTTAAAAATTCATATTAAACCTTGGGTTTTGAAAGTGTGTGGAGCTACCTACTTTACAGTGTCTAAAGGTTTTAAAACTAAGACTGCAATATCTTTGAACATTAAAACATATTCATCTCTTGTATTTCTCACTTGTAAAACTCTCTTCTGGCTTCTTGCTTCCAAGTCAACTTTGATCTTCAAAAATTTAAATGAAATTTCAACCATGATCATCTGTCTTATTAATTCCTTCTCTTTTATTGTTCTCTCTCCTTAATAATGTTTCTTTTCTTTTTTTCTCATTCTTTCACACTCAGTAACCCCTTGATTCTTTGTGGATTTATTACCTTGCTTGGGTTGAAAGGACCAAGAAAAAAAAATGTTTTCATGACACTATATAAACTACCATATTGCCACTTGACTATGCACGGTTATTGCAATTTTTGATAGAAGGTGGAGTCAATTTTAAAAATAAAATTATACATTGCAGTAGTATTTACAACAATTTGTAATTGAAAAACTTTTAATATTTAATTGGCAGTTATACTAGTTGTAAGACTAAAATAGAATTTGCCAGTAACCATTAGTTAAGATTTCGATTTTTTTTTTTACCAAATGATTACCAAGAGCCACTCAAGATAGAGTGTTACTGAATGTGGGTGTTTCAAGAAGAGGAGGTAAGTATAGATTATGAGGATATGTAGGATAGATAACAGTTAATTTGAAGATTGTATTGATGGGGAAGCATACTCTTTGGAGTCTGTTTCAACAAAACAGGTTTCTTGGGAAGAAGGTAAGTGGAACTTTCTTACCAATTGAAAATGGAGGAAATTAGGACGATTCAACCCTGTGTATGTGGCATGGCAGATCCTAGCTGCGAAGGTCTGAACTGCTGGAACTAAGGAATTGTAGCTCATCTGAACATTTGTGATAGAATAGCAAGCCTTATGACAATATCTGTCTATATTTCTGAGATGAGATATTGTAATTATTTATTCTATTTGCATTGTCTGGACTGTTGTCCTCATGTTTTGCCATATTCACAATGTTTTGATTGTTGTACATTCCAGCATTCTTCAGGTGATTGGAATTTTGAGCCAAATCCTTTATTTTGTTCACTAGGATAGATTGTTCTAGTTCCACATGCCATGCCTCTTCCGGACGTCTCAGTTATCTCCCTTTAAGTCGACTTTCCAAGTTTTTGTTCACCGCTGCAGTAGCCAGGTATTGAACTCACAATTCTTTGGGTGAAGTCACTGGATCCAACCAACACTTTTATCCACTGGGCCATGTGTCCTTGAGATCACCTGAAGAATCCATGATGGTATATTGTTTGCCTTGTAATAAATTGTTTTATAGTTGCTTGTGAGTTTTCTCTAGCCAATGATTTCTTTGGTCGAGTAATTCGATTTGCTTGTCACCTTTCTTCAGACCTTATAAAGGTAGCACGAGGGATGAACCCTCTATACCTCATTTTTTCTGGTGACATACACAAGGCAGGGGAAGAATGACCTGGGCAAGAACACTGGTTTCTTGAATGCTTACTGACTGCTTTAGGTTGGGCTCAGCAATTTTTCTCATCAGAACCACATTTCTAGTGCTACAAGTTTCTTCTTCATTTGTCAGGGTGATTGGCAACTTTAGCAATAAAAATAATTACGATTTGAATCATATAGCTTCAACTGAAGTCTTAACATTGAAAAGTCTTGCCTTTAAAGAGAAATTTGTAAAATGTTTGCTTGGTGATCAACTACCAAGTAACACAAAACATCCAAGGATGGACAGTGGAACACAGTGTTATCTAGAAGCGATACCACCAACTGATAAGAAGCAACATCCAACCAAATCCTGAAAAATCTATGCAAAAAAAAAAAAAAAAAAAAAAAAAAAAAAAGTGAAAAACAGTACTTTTGTGCCATTCATGAAGACAAAACACCTCTCTGCATTGTTTAAAAAAAAAAAAAAAAAAAAAATCTTTTGAGCAGTGAATTTTGATATTGCACACCTTTTCTGCTTCTCAAATGCTTTATGTTACTGTTAAAACCCATGTAATTTGTGCACCGGTGTAATTTATATAGGGGATCTTTGGGATAAAATTTGTTAAAAAAAAAAATAAAAAAATTAGAGAAGCTTTTAACCTGTAAAATTTGCACACCAAAATTTTCAGAATTGCCAATATGCCCAGGGAGGGGGAAGAAGTTTCCAATTTAGTTGTATTTAGCATAATTTCACTTATTTATGATTATGCTGTATGTCTTCTTAAATCGCGATCACAGGAAATTTTTACAATTTACATCCTTTTCCTTAACATCTTCAACAATTTTGCCAATCTTACAACAAAACAAGAAAAACAGACAAGAATAAAACCATACAGTCAAGATTATCCATATTATATTTTTTCCTGTCAAGATATCCATGCCACTATGTATGTCAATGGTGATCCATTGCAATAGGTAGAAACCCCAAGCAATTTAAAATATGGCCTGAATTGTAATTACCAGCATGAATGTCAGACTTCAAAAAGTAGTTAACCATTTAATGGTTTTAGTAAATTTATACAGAAAAAATAAGCATTATATTGCCCAGCCTAAATAAAAGTCAACTTCGTTAAATTTAAAGCCTTATTTTTTCTGTATAAACTTATTCTGACATTAAATGGGTCAACTTCCAGTATGAATGCTTATGTTTTTTTAAAGTCTTTTTTAACAAGGAAAAAAAAAAAAAAAAAAACCCGCTGGAAATGATCATGTAATTTATGCACCCTCTAAAGCTTATTTTTATTTTTGCAAAAAAAATATGCAAAAATTACATGGGTTTTTATGGTATATTTTTAATAAATTTTCCCTATAAGTTTGTTTTTAGTTGCCAGTACAATTTTTCATTTGTGCCATAAATGCCAGTTCTGTTAAAAACAATGAAAAAACAACCCAAAAGTTGTGGTTGCAGCTTTAATAGCAAGACCTTAAAAACAAGACAACTTGTGGCAGGTTTTATTATGACACCGAGTACAAGTTATCTTGTTGTTGGCAGTCATGTGTTAAAGAAGTCAAACTAATCCAACATGGTGTTGTAATAAATTGGTTTGCTGCAGCCATTTTCTTTCAAAGCAAAAGTGACCCAAACACTAGCAAAAAGATAAAAGAACTGAAAACAGTAAAATACCTTTATGCTTTTTATGACAGTTGGAGTCATTAAGGTTTTCACTAGCTTTTCTCTTTAAAAGGTTCATTTGTTGTAGATTATTATTGATGCTTGGTTTGGGAGCTGCCAGCATCTAAAAAGAAAGAAAAAGAAAATAAAAAACAAAAAAAAAAAAAAAAAAAAAAAAAGTACTAACAAAAATATACAACATACATCTTCATGATTTTTTTAAAAATATTTTTGTCACAGGTGTCAACCTGTGACAAAAATATTAAAAAAAATACTTAAAAAGTTTGAAGTTTGTTTGTTCAAACAAAACCCTGAAAATTAAAGTGTGTATCCAAAAAATATATTCTGTAAAACTGCAATAAGTAAATGCAGTTTTATTATTTATATTTACCAGGCAATACTTTATATCTTGCAAACATTAATCAAATTTGCATATTTAGCTTAAATTTTTTTTTAATTAACTGCTACACATGTTTAATCTGGTCTTTTGCAGCCTTCATAAATGATTGTTTTTATAATTAAACTTATTTAAATAAAATTCTTTTTTATCCTCAAAGTGGTAATGACCTTAGTATTTAGATCATAGTTTATGAGTAAATACTATATAAAAAGGAAGTAGTATTCAAATTTTATTAGCATATTCTGAAAATCTAACAAATATTATAAAATTATAACATGCGTTATATGGAATAAATGATTACTTGATGTATAGACCTATCAATATGCTTTAATTACAACAATTCTAAGATCATTTCACATGAAATTGTAGAAGATTCTAAGAGGAAACGTATTCTCTTCTAATAAAAACAGAAAAGTTCGGACTTAAAAGATTGAAGAAAACTCAATGTCTTTAAACACCTGATATGTCTGCTTTTCAAAATTCTAGGAAAATTCAATTATTGGAATTCAATAAATTTTTTTGTACTTATTAGCTTACTTGTGCTCTCAAAAAAAAAAAAAAAAAAAAAAAAAAAGGCAACATATATTGATATTTATTTAAAGTTCTATTAAATAGTTATTTTTCAAATAATTATTGCTTTGCTCTTTCACAGTCAGTTTTTTCATCTTCCAGCTTTATAAACATCTTGAAACAGTCCACCATTGCCATAACAAAGACACTGTTACTGGCTATCATTAGTACAAGGGAGATAACAGATACAACAAAAAGTTATAGGCAAAAAAATACAGCATATTACACATGCACCCAGCATATATTTATGAAGCAAGAATTCTTTTAGACAAATGTCATCTCCATCACCTATAAAAGTCTATGAGAATACCTAATGTACTATCATAGACAGTAAGGCTTAACAGGGTAGAACACAGATGGATTTATACCAGAGACAGTGTTAATTTTTATTTTTTGAGGTTTGGTTAATGATGAATTTTCACTTCAATTCTCCACCAATACACAGCATTTTAGAACAATGAACAAAAAAAAAAAAAAAAAAAATGAATGCAGATATTTTAAAATATTGGCTTATAAAGCATTGTTTGCTTTATGAAGCAAAAATGAATTATCTCATTTAACTTGTCCAAAAAAAAAAAAAAAAAAAAGGTTAGAAAGGGAGATAATCTATAATTGTTGTAGTTTAGGGCATGAAATTCTTTTTGATTTCTCAGACGACGAATATAAAAAAAATTGGCAAATTAAAACAAAAAGTCATCTGAGATAGATAATAATTTAAGAAAATGTATAACATCCAGAAAAAAAATTCATGTGTTTAATTTATTCTTCTTGTTCTATGGTTCATAAACATTTTTATAAAATTATGAATAAAAACCAGTTTTCATAGGTATTTATAAAACAATTATATATTGTATTGTAGTTAGTTTACATAATTTTGTAATTTTTAATAAAGTTTTGAATAAAAAGGATTTTTTTTCAAATTTATTTCTTTATAATATACTTTTATAATCTTGTAAATAAACATTGCCGAGGGAGTCTCAGTAGCATGTTTTTTTTTTGTGGCCACGAAAGTTAAAATTTGCCAAATTATTCCTTCTTAAATATTTGAAAATTTATTTAAAAAAAACGTGCTGGGTAAGATGTTAAACTACATCTGCATCCTGGGTAAGACGTTAAACTACGTCCAGCAGCAAGGCCTCTGATCAGGAGGTTTGGAGGAGAATTGAAACCACTTCTTAATTGCTGGTGTTCCCAGGTCCACCCTGACCTGGGGTGGTAGCACCTGTTAGGGTCCCAGCTATGGGCAAATAATTAACTACTACCAGCAATACTTTTTAGAAACAAATTATTAACGGGAATACAATTTTGAAGGAAAAATATTACCAGAAACAGATTTTTGACAAAACAAAATATTACCAGCAATAAAAAATTTGCTGGCATTAAATAACCCATTGAGGTTGATATGCCGTAAAGCAAAATAAACCAAACCATTTAAAAAAAAGTGTTAGCTAATTGAATGACAAAATTGAAAAAAATTCTATGTAATATGTTTCATCCTTTAAAAAGACTTCAGACTAAATGTTTGTATTGATATTGTGTGTGTATATATATATATATATATATATATATATATATATCGGTCATTTCCTTCCTTTCAAAAATAGGCATCACTGGCCACTGGTTGAAAAGCGTTTCACATCGCCTTAAAAAAAAAAACTGTTCAACACGCGTCAAGTTGGATTTGGTCGAGATCAAAACAAGCAAATAAAATGCGCACAACATCACGACCTAACATGCGCAATTGAGATATTTGCGTGGTCACCTATAACAACTTTTACGAGCGCGTCAATAACGGCAAATGCGTTCAAGAAACTTTCATTGCAGATAGATTTTACTTAAAGGAATGATTAATACCCTTCCTTGGTGGCAAACGCGCCATAGCCACTGAAACTGTGATATCACCCCTGGTCGGCGGCTGATGAAGACAGGGTATTGCACGTGCTAACACACGTATGTTAAGAAAAAAAAAAAAAAAAAAAAAAAAAAAAATATATATATATATATATATATATATATATATATATAAAAAAATGAAAAAAGTTGGTTATGTCTCTCCCTAAAATTTTTGTGGGTTGTAAATAGGAGTTGATTTTAAGGTGGCCCCTATACATGTATTGGCTGTTCATTGGATAGATATCTCTTTTTTGATTGGCCCAAAGAGATAAATGTTGAAAACTCAGTCATTTTGCACAGATTCATGATTTCAGGAAGGGGGGGGGGGGACTTGGGAAGAAAAAAAAAAAAAAAAAGATGATGCATGGAATCACCTTTCCTGAAAAACACTTACCTCTTTGTGCTGGCGTCCCTGTATGTGGGCTGGCCATAGCAATGAACTCTTGATCGCTATATTACAAAGACTGCAGACTAGCTGTCCAAGTTTGTTGTATCTGATCAGATAAAGAACAGTATTATAACAAAAAACACATTTCTGTTTGAATTTCTGGAATCAGGATTTTTTTAAAAAAATCATTTCACCCCAAGCAAGGAAATAAAGCCACTAAGATGCAAGGGTGTCACTTAGCGTGAAAGAATACGAGAAAAAAATTATTAAAAGAACAGGAATTAGGAAGAAAGAATGGTTGATACTGCATTAAAATTTTTGAAGATCAAAATTGAATAATTGATAATTTTTCAATTACTCATATTTTTAAGCACAATCCAACTTCTTTTAGGAAATTTACAATCTTCAATGGTTCTATTTTCGTAAAAAGTTTTTTTTTTTAAATTACTCACTTGGTAATATTTTGTTTGCACTAGATCAAAATCTACACACTCTAACAATGTATGTTTCACTGTAAATTTTAATTATTGCTGATAATAATTTTTCCTTCAAAAATTATTGCTGGTAATAATTTTTATTACAAAGTATTTCTGGTATTAAAACCTATTTTTACACAAGTTTGGGGTGTTACCTATTTGCCCATAGCTGGGACCCTAACAGGTGCTATGACCCCGGTCAGGGTGGACCTGGGAACACCAGCAATTAAGAGTTGGTTCCACGCTCCTCAAAATCTCCTGATCAGGAGCTTTGCTGTTGGACATAGGTTATCATACCCAGGACAGAAAAGCACAGGGAAGCCATGTTATGACAGTGGGAAAGTGACAAGCAGAGATGTCAGGGCAGATAACACTGCAGATTCTTCTTTGAATTTAATTAAGGATCTTTAAGTACATAGAAGCACCAGACCAGACTTATCTAGTTATATGTCCAGGGATATCTCTAGAGATATCCTATGACACAGGCTCTGTAGAATAAGAATTATCTACCCCTGTTGATTAAATAAGGGGTTCAGTTCAAAATTCACTGACAGACACCTGAAGAAGGCTGAAGGGCATAATGGCCAAAATGTGATAATAACAAAAATGAAGATATTAGTTTGAATGTAAATAAAAGTAACATTGAGTTTTTATGACAATTTCAGTTAAAGATATTTAACACAATAGTCTACCTGAAACAAAGTAATTGTTTCCAAAGTCTGCCCAGAGATGAAAAAATTTACAAACTAAAACTTATAAAAGGATTTTATTGGTGAGAGAGTAGGAGAAAAAACAATGTCACCTTTCTTATCCTGAATATTGAATAAGGCACATATGAAAACAAACAAGACTAAACTGATGTGAAATTTGAAAGAGACAAACATTTATTACAATGACAAAAACAATAGAACAGAATACAAGGTTTACAAATAAGTTTGCACAATTTTTTTCATTTTGTGATCCTTATTAAAGGCAACATAACCAATTAAAAAAAAAATAGAAATATGGTTCATAAAAAAAAGATATAAATCGTTCAACAAACTTTCAAAAATCTTGAAAAAGTACAATACTTTAAAAAAAAAAAAAAAAAAAGGAAAAAAAAAGAAGGTTCAAAATATATATTCTTTCTAAAAAGATACACTTATTTTCGCGTCAGAATCACTAGAGCTCATTTTTTTAAAAAACAGTTCAATTATGAATTTAAGAAAAATTTTCACTTCACTGATTTCACTTTGGATAAGCTTTTTTTTTCTGTTTCTGTCTTTTGCGTATTTCTTCAGTGACAGCCAAAATTGCTTTTCCTTCTAATATTTTCTGGTAACCTGTCATATATAGCCCCCAAATAGGCTCCAGACTGATTATAACTTTTAAATTTGCATGGGTGGAAGTCAACCTCTTGATTGGTAAAAATATGCACAAATGTATCTTTTTGAAATTTAAGAATTAAACCACAAACCGCCTAGCTTTGACGGACTTATTTTTTTCGTCTGTACGTTTTTTTTTTAGCAGAAAATGAAAAAACTATTAATTAATTATTAACTACTAATAATTTGATGTGAAAAATTTGTATTTGAAATTTTCTAAAGTTAAGAAAAAATTTTCTTAGTTAATTTTATTAACCGTCTACCTTCTACACTTCTCCAAAAAGCAAGTGTTAAACAACCCTAGAGAGAGACTTATGTTTTCTCAGTACACTTTTCTTATTAATCATTTATTTACATTTTGTATATATATTCTTTTGAAGAGAAAGAGTAATAAACAAACTTAGTGTATCTTATTTTTAATTATTCTATATTCACCTTTTAATTATTTTCTTATAATTTTTTTTCTTAGTCAAGCAAGCGTAATAGTAGGTACCAGTCCCTAGAACGGTTTTATTTTTAATTTAAACAAAACAACTTTTGGCAGAATTTCATGTATCTTTCCTAATCATAATGTTAACTAAAATTAATGTGAATTATAGCAAAAAATTTTGCAGTTTCAATTCTTTTAAAAAGTCATTTGTCTTAACTTTTTCCTCCATTATGTCTACCTACTACTATGGCCTTCAGTACGTCAATTTCTTTTTAATGGTGTAGCCGAAACAGGAAAAAAATCTGAGAGTTTGAATATACATTTTTTTTATAGAAATATTTGATGCCGTAGAGGAAAGAAATGTCTAAAAGAAAATATTTTTCTTACAAACGAGAAACAAAGGTTAAGAAATTGCATCCAGTGATGACAGTATTCCTCCATCTTTCCGACGTCTTTAATCACGAGACTAAGTTTTTTTTTCCATAAATAATGACAATGTTTCTGTGACGTCTGGAGAATGACGACTATTAAAAAATTCTTCTGGGTTTTTCTATTCTGATTGAGAAAAAAAATCCCCAAAAATCAGAATGTATTTTTCTATTTATGGATTTTTTTTTTATACGAGTAAGTTCTGGAAGGTGATCACCTGAAAATAGTGACATAATTCAGTTTCTCTGCTACGTTTACGATTCTTCCAAATGTACGACTAAAAATGTGTCCCGAATTTTTTTTTTTTAAATACTTATCGTTATCATAGGATTTTTTAATTGGTAGCTGTCAAAAAAAAAAAAAAAAAATAAATAAATAAGAAATTACAAAAACTGTTCGAGTTTTTTTTCACTCTCAAAATCATTTTTAACTAACAGTTAGTTTATTTAAATTAATCCGATGTCTTTTCTAGGCTCCAAGAGAATAGATTTTAATTCCAGTAAGGTTGAACATACTTACATCGAATTTAAATGAATAAGAGACCCTATTGTTTGGTACAGGTGCGAAAGTAAACGTAAATTTTACCTAAGTCATTTCAGAAAAAAAATGCTATTTTAGTTTGTTTTTTTTAAAAAAAAAAAGACAAACTTAAAAAGATCGAAAAAACATACAATATAAAAACGGAATCTCAAATTTTCGAAGAATTATTTTTGGTAGACTATTTAGGACAGGAATAACAAAAAAACAAAAACACTACTAAGAATTCAATTACATTTCATAATTCTTTAAGAAAAATGGGTTACTAGAAATCAAAACAATATCAATTTTTCCTGCTTCTATATGACGTAAACATCATCTGATGCATATGAAGATATATCCAGGTATTTTTCTTCACGGAAAATAAATTTAAAAAAAAAATGAAATAAATTATTGCATTTTGAAGGCTATTTTTGTTTTATTTCCGATGCAAGACTCTCCCCCTTTAAAAGGCGGTCGGTCTAGGAGGAATCTTTTTATTTGAATTATTTGTATTGTACAGGATTTTGGGATTTACTGGCTGCAAACGTATTTCAGATTTTATTTGCAGAAAAATAGCTGGAATTAATTTTATATTTTTAAAACTATTTCCCATTTTATTCCGAATCTATGACTTCATCCACACACCCAATAATTCATAATGTGAGTCTCCTTTAAAGACTTTACGTTCGGTGTAAAAGAAATCGGTAAGTATTTACTTTTACTATTTAGTATATAAATTGTTTGAAACGCTAAAATGGACCATTTGTGGAAAAAAAAAATAATAACAGGTTGTTTGTTATTAAAAGTAAAACGTAACGATAACAAACAAAACATTCCCGAAGTCATAATTTTAGAGAGAGTGAAAAGGAAATATGTAATTAATAATAAAAAATGAATTACTTTGCAAGTGGGTGATCGACTTTTCTGGTGAGATTTCCAGCATTAACTTTTGTTTCTTTCATTAAACGACGAAGATCGTCTTTAGACACGGTTCTCTTCTTGGAGGCTGCCATCTTGAAAAAAAAAGCGGTCAATACACAGATTCGTAACATAAATAAAATAATAATACATTTTTTGAGAAGTAAGCAAAAAAAGCATACATGCAAATTATATATTTTAAAATAAACGTCTCTTTTTTAATTTGGTAAAAAAGTAAATTAAAAGAAACATTCTTACAGATTTGAATTTGTTCGAAAATACCAACAACTTCTAGATTTTTTTTTTTTATCGGAAGAGAAAGTTTGATTTCTCAACTTATCAACTATAGGCCAACGTTACGTTGCCGAATAAGTGAGGCTTGGTGTCAAATGTTTGCCCAAGGGAAGAAGATTATTTCAAATTAGGGTAAACATATCCATTCTCTATTTAAATTGTGAGTGAAACAATAACAAATTAACGTTTTTATCGCAGGTGCCATTTAAAAAGACTTTTTACCGCGTACTTAAAGAAAGTTAGTTCCGTGTTCAGATCTCTGTGTGTGTGTGTGAGGGGGGTAAGTGGTCAGTGTTGTCAAATAAACTCTTAAATTGAAAAACAAGTTTAAATTGACATCCGATTGGTTTGCAGGTTTGATGAGCTTCATTATTATTCCAGAGAGAAACAAAACATTTGGTTATCATTTTTTGGCCTAGCTACTATTTAGTTACCGAGCCAAAAGATAACAATAACAACTTCAATGAAAATAGTGAAACAATTATTAAATAACTAAATGAAATTAATAAACACAGTGCTGATAATTATGGTGGCAAAGAAAACCTAAGAATAAGTAATCTTAAATAAAATAATTTCGCCCATTATTGTGCTAAAATATGAGTTTTTTTTTCTGAAATGAAAGCAAAACATTGCCACCGTTTTATTTATTTATTTGTTTCTTTTTTAAGTAACCTCCAAAATCTGGGAATTATCCAAACAAAATTTTCAGTTTTCATTAATGAATGGATTTCCTTTTACAGAATAGGTTATTTTGTTAAAAACTTGTGAAAATATTTTGGGGGGCTGTATGTTTTACTCCCTCTTCTTTTCGATATTTCGTGTGTGTACACTTTTTAAAATTAATTAATTTATTTTTTTACAGTTAAAAAAAGAAAATCCCTGAAAATATTCCACCCAGTAAAAAATATATGCTCCGTGTGAACACACGGAAAATTCGTCTTAGTCTCTAGCTAAAATAAATCTTACCAAAAATAAATTGATAAAAGTTAAAAAGTAAAAACTCAAAAATTTTTTTCTAACAGTTGGTGCTTCTTGTTGCATGCATAATAAAATGAAAAAAATATATTAATTTTATTTTTAGTTGGACAAAAAATTGTAAATTTTGAGTATTTTTGTAATTTATCACGTTCGTTACTGTTCGTAAAAAGATTTTTTTTATTAAATAAAAAAGACGCTTTAGCTTTTTAACATATTGAAAAATAGATTAGACTATTTTTGGTATGGATGTTCAAATAGGAAATAATTCTGAATTACCGCCTTTAACTACTTCCCCCTATCAGAAGAATATGATGATGTAACAATTAAAAAGTTCATATTGGGTGCAATTATGACATCAAACAGTTACGAGAATTTAAAGAAAAAAAAAGCCATGTAACTGTGCTCGCTCTCCCTCGTGGAATGTGACACAATGTCGCGTTGATTGGTAGCCCAATCTTATGCGGACTGGAGATAAAAATTGCTCAAGTTAATGCCTTGGAGATTGACTTTAAAAGTATGTACCTCAGTTTCGATTTGTTCCAGGAGAGGCAACTAACTTAGATCGAATTTAACTTGTCTCCAGACTAAACCACAAATAACCATTCCCCGTTATGTATTAAATGCGTTTTTATGGTCAATAAGAATCTATTTTAAGGTTACAAACAAATAAATTTTAGTTTTTAATATCGTACAGAAAAAAAAATCTAAATTTACGAATATATGTACGTACATACTTGCAAATGTAGATGTTTATAATTTGGTGATCTTTTATAGTACATCGCGGACTCTTTATATGTGAATGTGGTTTGCTCTAAGACATTATAAAATAACGCTTTTCTAGTGATATTACGACATCATCATTTTTGGCGGAAAGACAAAGTCGAATAAAATGACTTAATTTTTTATTTTGCCATATATATTTTTTCGATGTATAATCGAGAACGACTTAACCCGAGGTATACCAGTATTAATTTCCAACTCACCACCACTTGAAAACCTGCGTTTTACAGTTTTACTTTTGAGTTTTGACCTAGTATCTTCTGAGAAAGCAATACTGATATCAGCATTTTAAGTTAAAGTTACGGTAAAAAAAAAAAAAATCATTTAAAATTTAAAGTGGGTATTTTTTTTTTTTTTTTTGAAAATATGTATTTTGTGTACTTTGAATGAATTTATTAGGAAAATTAACATTACAATGTAGGTTTACTAACTTGGGCCCTTTGTATTTGTTTTTATGAAAATTGCAGGTCTTTTTCATAGGTTTCATAGTTTTAAAGGATTTAAGCGTTTATATATAAAAAAAGCTTCAGTTTTTTTTTCTCTGCTACTTTTAAGAAATCTGTTTGTGATATAGAATCCCCAACCCTAAGTTATTAACTTGATAAAATAAACTTCTTTTTTTCCCCCATACTTTAAAAAATACCCTTATATTTGTGTAAGACTGACACAAGGTCAGGGTCCAGTTTAGTAATATATTTACATTGTAAATAAATTGTTTGGGGTTATAATGTCGGACACAAAATTAATGTCCATTTTAGAATTATACATACATTCAAAAATGAATCTCACTCTAGCACCACAGTGTTTGCTTTTTTTTTTATGGGATTACCCAACCTAGTCTGTCAGGGAACTCCTCTTAATGCCTGCTAGATGGATAAAGCAATATAAAAAGGAAGGAATCAAACCCTCTCTTTTTTTTCTCTCTTTTCAACCAAAGGATGCCATAGTGACATGATATGTCTTGTTTCCCCTCGTGTGAGACTTCTTTTATCAGGCAAACCAACTTTGTAGTTTCCACCAAGCCATTGGGCACATCACACACACTACATCTAATAACATAAATATATATATATTTTTTTCTGCTTTATATATATATATGTAAAATCCATGTGTGTGTGTTTGTGTGTGTATTGAATTCATTTCTTTTGAAAATTTAGAAATATTCTACATGCAGGCAATAATGCATGGTAATCTTTAGGAGGCACGGTGGAGTAATGGATAGTGGCTCGGATTGAGGAATCGGAGAGCCGAGTTTGAATTCCAGTCGAATCCATTACATTCACTTATGTGCTAATACCCTTGGGAAAGGCAAGAATTCTTTTCTTCTCCTCTCAGCTATAGGTAAATAGCAGGGCAGACTGGGTTCTATAGCCTTGCATGGTAACTGGTCTACTGCAGAAAGAAATGGCAACCTATTGTGAGAAAAATCTGCCTCGTCAGTCATGTATCGAAAGATTTTTGACTTTAGCATAAACCAGATCTCTGTCTACCTTTTTGAGATTAATGTAAACTGAACCTAGGTCTACATTTTAAAATCTCGTGCAAACTGGACCTATGCCTACTTGTTTGAATATTGTGTAAACCAGACATGATTATTTTTTAATCTAGTGTAAACTGGGCCTTTTTCTACTTTTTTGAATCTAGTGTAAACTGGACCAATGTCTACTTTTTTTTTTTAATCTGGTGTAAACTGGACCAATGTCTACTTTTTTTTTTTTTAATCTGGTGTAAACTGGACCTATGCCTATTTTTTTTTACTGTTGTAACCTAGACCTATGTCAACCTTTTATTTCAAGTATAAACCAAACTTATGCATATTGTGATTTTTATTCTATATATCAATATATTTAATATTAAATAATTATATAAATTATTAAATAACCTAACATGTATTGATATATTAGGTTAAATCAGTGATTCCCAAACTTTTTTCCTTTGGGCCACATTTTCAGAATGAAAATTTGCTTGCATCTCACCAAATTTTATATGATAAAAAGTACACTTAAAAATTAAAAGTGGAGAGTGTGTTAAAGGGAGATAACCACGGATTCAAAGTCAGAACATTATCATTGATAACTCTCTTCTCCAATTTGCAGACTCTATTCTTAATACTTGATATGATTAAAAAATATCACAATGATAAAATTGGTCAATAATTATTTATAACTATTTATAGTGGGACTCATGCATGCAATTACAAGTAATCCATAACATTTTAAATTTTGAAATCATATTTATTTTTGGCATATGAACTTTTTGAAGCTGTTTCTAAATCTTTGTCTTTCAATTATTCCACCTCACCTTATCTTCCGCCATACATATGAGGTGCGCTGCACCGTTTGGGAACCACTACGTTAAATTAACTAACCTCACCTTAAATATTTAAACTGTAATCGCAAATTATTAAAAAAAGTTATCATTAAATTATTTTGAAACCATTTAAAGCTTCACAATGAAAATGAATTCCAATCAATAACCATTATTTGAAGACTCTTCATGTTGTCACATACCAGTGAGAAATGTGCAACAGTCAAAACATTTCTGCTATTCTTGTATCACAGGCGTTGGAACCACAATTGTTGGAACCACAATCGTTGGAGTAGGAGAGGTTGCAAAAATTAAGCAGTTTGACTTTCTCTGTACTTTTCCAGGACAGGACAAGACTACTTGTTGTGCTTTATAATTTATCATAAGTTATTTATTAACCCCCTCCCCAGTTATTTGGTTAAGTAGCAGGACAGACTGGATCCTATAGCCTTGGTTGGCAACCAGTCTACTGCAGAAAGAAACAGTAGTCTACTGTTGGAAATTCTTTTACCAGTTCAGTCATGAATCAGAAAGAGACATGGTCGCCCACACATGTCACATCCACCCTTACCATCACGCATTGGGTTGATACGGTAGATTAACGGCTCATTCCTACCCATGAACAGCAAAGATGGTGATATCTGGGGAAGGCCTACATCCACAAGCTTAAGTTGCAGGCTGTGCCAGCTTCTCTCTGCCCACCTCATGATCGATAACCGTCTGCTTTTACTTCAGG